TCTAGCATAATCACGGCAGCTAGGCGGCACAATGGATAGAGCACTGGGCCTGATCTGAATTCAAATCTGACACTTATTAACTGTGTGACCCTGGGCAAGTCACTTAACTTCAGTTTGTGTCAGTTTCCTCAACTGTAAAATGAAAATAATAATTATACCTATATCCCCTAGGTTGTTGTGAGGATCAAATGAGATAATATCTGTTATGCCCTTAACACAGTTCCTGGCATGTGGTAGGTGCTATATAAATGCTATCTATAATAATAATAATTATTATTATTATTGCTTGAAGCCACTCAGCTTATGTCAGAGGCAGGATTTGAACCTGTCTCCTCTAGTCACTTGTTTCTAGTGATAAAGATATACAGTCACAGTGGAGCTTACTTCAAAGTTTATAGCTTTGAAAGAAAGATGAAAAGAGACACTCTGTTAAGCTGGGAGTTCCTCGAGAGCAGCGATAGTTGGGTTTCGGGTTTTGGGGGGTTTTTTTGCCATTGTATCCTCAGCACTTAGCACAATGCCTGGCACATAGTAGGTGCTTAATAGATGCTAGTTGACTGACTGATTAATGGACTTTGGAGTAATTTACAAGTGTTATTCCCCATAAAGAAAGGCAACACTGGGAATAACAGAGAGAGAACTAGCCTTGGAGTCGGGAAGAGCTGGATTCAAGTCCTGCTTGGGACTCACACGAGCTCTGAGAGCCTGGACAAATCACTGACCTGTCATTGCTTTTCCAGTACAGAACAGCTGGGCTTTGAATCAGAGAAACTGGGTTCAAGCCCCATTCTGTCCCTTCATAGCTCTATGATGTTAGCCAGTCTGTTTCCCCATCCATGAAGTGATTTCTAAAATCCCTTTTAGCTCTGCCTCTATGGCCCCATCATCCTATAATCCTTACGTAACCCAGAGCAGAGCCTTCCATCTCTGCTGGCCTCAGCTGACTCACACATAAAATGAGGGGGTTTAACTGGACCCTTCCAACTCCTTCATAAAACCATGACCAAGGAAATTTCCGTCTTTGCTTAGATGCTGGACAGCTTTCTCTAAAGTGAAAGGATAGAGAATTTGAAGGGTGATGCTCAGGTAGATTAAATGACTTGTAGACACACAGCTTAGGTTGGAGTGGGATTTGAACCCAGGACTTCCTTTCACGATTTGAACCCAGGATAATAACAGACAGCATTTTGTAGCACTTTACGGTTTGCAAAGTGCTTTGTATATATTCTCTTCTTTGACCTGTCCCTTTTCCTGAGCTCTTACTGTGCTATTTATCTTTTGACCAAGTCTTAGTATTAAGAGTAGCTCACACTTCTGAAGTCCTTTGTAAGCCCTGTGAAGTGCTCACTCTTCCAGTGAAATTAAAATATTGATTAGAGAGACAAGACGGGCAGCTAGCTGGCACAGTGGATAGAGCTCCAGCCTTGGAGTCAGGAGGATCCGAGTTCAAATCTGGCCTCAGACACTTGACACTAACTGTAACTTCACAAACAAATCTTTGACTTTGTTCTGTGAAGTTTGGATTCCGTCAAAGGGCCACACTTGAGGATCTAGAGGGCCACATGTGGCCTCAAGGCTGCAGGTTCCCCACCCCTGGTCTAGACAATAAATGCTTAAATTGAGAAATGCTTAAAATTCTTGGACTCCACATTCATATCTCTTTCCACTCTGTATCTCCCCATCTTCAGGGCACCATGGGAAGTCAGGGCCCTGGGATCACAGATTTAGTTTGTCATGACTCTGTAAAAGACACGCCCTCCGGCTTGGCTCCCAACAACCTCGTGGCTCTCCTTAGCTGATGGATGGGTAGGATGTTTGGGGCCTCCTTCACCTCCTCACCTGAGCAGCTCTAGAGCACAGGTGACGACCTCGGGTTTTAGAGGAAGGCATGGGCTCTCTCACAGGCATGTCTGCTTGGTTTTGCGTCGTGATGTCATAGTCAGGGAGACCCTGGGGATTGATCGGTGATTATACAGGTGTAGGGTTCGGAAGTTTCCAGGCATAGAAGATTCCAGGAAGGGGCAGGAGGAAGGAGAAATTAGGCAGGAGAAGGGACGTGTCTATAGCAGAGAGCTCCTGCCGCTAACAAGCCTTATGGATTTCAGACAGGCCCAAAGTATCAGAGAGGTTATTTTGGACTATCCCACACAATTTTTTTTCCTACTAGAATCATCAGGAAATGTTGTTCAAGTATCACTGGGGGTAAGTCCACGCTGTGGACCCCTTCCTATGCCTGTTCCTAACTCCTTTCTAACCCTCCTCACTCTCCTGCCTCTCACCACCACCAGTACCACTTTATTCTACAATGTCACCATATTGTTACAGAATTTCTCAATTTCTGTTTCTGGGTTGGGAATACGGAGATGCTTAAAAGGCACCACCGAGTCATGGTGGTCTCAGATATGAAATTAAGATATCAAAGTGAGCAATGAGCTTGGAATCACAGGACCTAAGGTTGAATGTTGGGTTGGGCAAATCATGCCCTTCTCTAGGTTTTTGTTTCCATAAAATGAGGGGGCTGGGCCAACAATCTCTAAACTGGTGCCTACAGCTATGATCTCATGTAATTAAACGTTGAAACTTTTTGTGATTTTAAGATTGAATTTATTACTAACTAAATATGGCTCTCATCATAAGATAAATGATTCATGAAGGATTTTGTCAGCTTGGGGAACTCAGTATAAGAATTCTTTCCATCAGCCCAGATCATGACCCAGCTGTGACTTAATAAATAAATCTCTAGCACCTAGTAGGCATTTAATAAGTGCTGATTGATTAGTAACAGGCTCACAATAATGGAACAACCCCTGTGCCAGGCTACCTCTAGGTGGGGTCCATGCAGTGGGGAGAAGAGAGAAATAAATGATGAATGATGAATTGAAATGGAATCAGTCAGCCAGATAATCTTATGGACCCTTGTAACTTGCCAGTCTTGGGTAGATACAACACCATAACTAACTTTTTAAACTTCTTTCTCTGGGTTGTCTCCTGTATTCATTTTCTACAGAGAAAATTCATTTCTATCAGAGAAAGGTGAACTAGATTGCAGAGTAGTGGGTTGAGTGGCTCACCTTGAATCTAGGCAGACCTGGCTTCAGTTCTGCCTCTGATCCTTACTAGCTATGGAAAAACCATTTGGATCCCCTGGGCCTCAGTTTCCTCATCTGTAAAATAACGGGTTTGGGCTAACTGACCTGTGAGGTCCCCTCCAGCTCTGGGTCCAGGATCCTTGCCCCCTCTGGGGTCTACCTCTCCCTTCCGACACTAAATAGATGCTCTCTGAATCTGACCACACAAGGTCCCTGAAGGCTCTCTTTTGACATTTTTGCTCATGGCCAGTGTTGATGGGAGAAGGATGACAAGGGCTTGATTCAACCTGCCTTGGTCATCTTGGAGTTGTACAGAACCTCAGAGTAGAAAGGGACCTTGGTCCATTCAGCGTAACCCTTAGCTGAAGGAATTCCCCCTCCCCAACAACAACCAGGCCCTGCTGAAAGCCATCCTGTGAGGTCTTCCCTCCCACTCACCCCCCAGGTGGTTCGATGTCTTACTCCCCCTCCCAGCTGGCCTGTGATTTTGCCTGTCTCTCTAATGTGAACAAACAGATTTTTTTAACCTAAAAGGAATAAATGAACACTACAGGGAAATATTGGAAATTATTCAGACGAGTTAAATAAGATGAAAACATAAGAAGCTCCTGCTGACTTGAGAATTTTCTTGATCAATTAATCCACAAACAAGTATTAGGTGTCTGCAGGACACTGGCCTAGATTAGTCCATGGAGATACACCTACAAAAGTGGAACAAGGGAAGAGCCACCACATTCACAGAGAAGTGAATGCAAGATAAATATGCAGCTTTGGGGGTGGCCCTAGGATTATGAAAGGCCTTTTGTAGGAAGCAGAGGTGAGGAGGAGACACATTCCAGGCATGAGGGGACAGCCCACAGGGAAGATCAGAATACTGTGTTCAGAAAGTGATCCTTGGCTGCCAGAGCTCCCCCTCTCCTCGCCCCAAAATGTTCTTGGATTTACTTTGCATATATTTAGAATCAAGAGCTGGAAGGGACCTCTGAGGCTATCTAGTTCCACCCCCACCCCCACCCCCTGCCCATTTTGTAGATGCGGATGCTGGGGCCAAGGGACAGGGAGTCAGAGTGGATGTACCTGTTGCTTGCCCCAATAGAATGTGAACTCCTGGAGGGCATGGAAGGTTTCACTTTTGTCTTTGTGTCTTCCACACCTAGCACAGTGTCTGACACTTATAAGGCATTTAATAAATACTTGTGGATTGATTGACTAATGGATAAATTTATGGATGGATGGAGGCAATGGGAAATGGATAGATGGATGGAGGCAGGGAGGAATGGCTGAATGGATGAATAGAAGGATGAATGGATGGAGGCAGGGAGGAATGGATGGACGGATGGATAGATGGATGGATGGATGAAGGCAGGGAAGAATAGATGGATGGATGGATGGATGGATGGAGGCAGGGAAGAATGGATGAATGTTTGGATAGATGGATGGATGGAGGCAGGGAAGAATAAATAGATGGATGGATGGATGGAGGCAGGGAGGAATGGATGGATGGATGGGTGGTTGGATAGTTGGATGGATGGATGGAGGCAGGGAAGAATAGATGGATGGATGGATGGATGGATGGAGGCAGGAAGAATAGATGGATGGATGGATGGATGGATGGAGGCAGGGAGGAATGGATGGACAGATGGATAGATGGATGGATGGAGGCAGGGAAGAATAGATGGATGGATGGATAGATGGATGGAGGCAGGGAAGAATAAATGGATGGATGGATGGATGGAAGCAGGGAGGAATGGATGAATGGATGGAGGCAGGGAAGAATAGATGGATGGATGGATGGATGGAGGCAGGGAGGAATGGATGAATGGATGGATGGATGGAGGCAGGGAGGAATGGATGAATGGATGGATAGGTAGATGGATGCCAGTGCACACATCTGACTTCTCTTTCCCACAGGAACATCCACTGACTTTCCTTTCCTAGGATGATCCCTCCTACGACTGGGACCCCTCCTCCAAGTGAGGTTCTCTTCCCTACGTTGACTTCTCAAGAATTTTGGAGGTCACAGGTCTCTGGTTACACAGGAACTGTGACTCGGCACATCAGTCATCGGGCCAACAACTTTAAGAGACACCCTAAGAGGAGGAAGCATATCCGGCCCTCTCCACCCCCACCTCCAAACACACCCTGTCCTATAGACCTGATTGACTTTGGAGACCTGCACCCTCAGAGGTCCTTCCGGGAGCTGCTGTTCAATGGCTGCATCCTCTTTGGAATTGAGTTCAGCTACGCCATGGAGACAGCATATGTGACCCCTGTACTGCTCCAGATGGGGCTCCCTGATGAGCTCTACAGCATGGTCTGGTTCATCAGTCCAATTCTAGGTAACCATTAATTTCCAATATTCTTCTGGTATTTTCAGGTCTTACACAATAAAGGCAATAGCTAGCATATTTATACAGCATTTTAAAGTTTGCAAAGCTTTGTGTATATTAATTAATCAATCAATAATCATCAAGTGTCTACTATGTGCCAGGCACTGTGCTAAGCACTGGGGATACAAAAAGAAGCAAAAGGTAGTCCCTGCCTTCAAGGAGCTTACAGTCTAATGGGGGGGGAGACATGCAAATAAATACATGCAAAGCAAGTTATATACAGAATAAATAGGAAATAATTAACAGAAGGAAGGTCCTAGAATTCAGGAAGGTTGAGGAAGGCTTCCAGTAAAAGATGGAATTATTGTTGGTACTTGAAGGATGCCAGGGAAGTCAGTAGTCAGAATGGGGAAGGGAGAGTATTCTGGGCATGGGGGACAGGCAGAGAAAATACTGGAGCCAGGAGGTAGAGTGTCTTATTCATGGAGTAGACAGGAAGCCTGAATCAGAGAGTGCGTGTTGGGGAGGAAAGTATAGGAAGACTGGAAAGGTAGGAGGGGCCCAGGTTGTGAAGGGCTTCTAATGCCAAAGTATTTTGTATTTTCTTCTGGAGGCTATAGGAAGTTGCTGGAGTTTATTGAGTAGTGACCTGAGCTTCAGGAAAATCCCTTAAGGAGCTGAATGGAGGATGGATTAGAATGGGAACAGACCTGGGGCAGGCAGAGCCATCATCAGGCTATTGCAATAGTCCAAGTGTGAGGTGATGAGAGCCTGGACCGGGAGAATGGCAAGGTCAGAGGAGAGAAGGAGATGTATTTGAGATTCTGCTAAGGTGAATTGGCAGACCTTGGCAGCAACTTGGATGTGTGTGTGTGTGTGTGTGTGTGTGTGTGTATGAGAGAGATAGAGAGACAGAGAGACAGAGACAGAGAGGAATCCAAGATGACCCCTTGGTTGTGAGCCTGAGGGACTGCGAGGATGGACTAGGAGGATGGTGTCACCCTCTTTGGTACTATTATGATCCCTGTTTTACAAAACAGTCAGCCAAGGCTGAGAGAAATTAAGTGATTTGCCCAGGGCCACACAGTAAATGTCTGAGACAGGATTTGAACTCGGGTCTTCTTGACTCCAAGTCCAGTGATCTACCCACTGGGCCCCCTAGCAAGCTACTTTTATAATTACATCGCATTTATATATACATACATACATATATGTATACATATATGTATGTATGTATGTGTGTGTGTATATGTGCACACACAGATAAATGAGTCTGTATTCATGGTAGAGGGAGCTATGTGATTATTGATGACATGGTGGGAAAAGTACCAGCCCTGGATGTAGGGACTCGGGTTCAAATCCCATTTCTGCTTCTTACTCCCTTTGGGACCTTGAGCAAGTCCCTTCCCCTATTTGGGCCTTGGTTTCCTCATCTGTGAAATGAGCTGGAGAAGGAAATGGCAAACCACCTCAGTATCTTTGCCAAGAAAACTGTATACTGGGTCACGATGAGTCAGACCTAACTGAAAAGGACCAAACAACAATAAACTCTACATTGATGACGCCCAGCTCAGGTTACCCTGGTAGTCACAGCATCAAAGATGGAGGGGGAAGACACCTCAGAGGTCATCTGTTCAAGCCACCTTGACTTGACCCAGGCAGGTAGGTGGCGCAATGGATAGAATGCTAGACTTACAGTCAGGAAGACCTGAGTTCAAATTGTGCTGCAGACATTTACTAACTATGACCCTGGACAAGTCACTCTCTCAGCCTCAGTTTCCTCATCTGTAAAATGAAGATAAAAATAACATCTACCTCCCAGGTTATTGTGAAGATGAAATGAGATTATATTCCCAAATCACTTTGCAAACCTTAAAGTGCCATATAAATTCTAGTTATTATTATTACCCAAGGTCACAATGGTGAAGATAATTACAATAGCTGACATTTATATGATGATTTAATATATGCCATGCAGTTTATATATGCTATGTCATCTGTATTTTGTTGTTCAGTTGTAACCAACTCTTCATGACCTCGTTTTGGGGTTTTCTTGGTAAAGATACTAGAGTGGTTTGCCATTTCCTTCTCCAGCTCATTTTTAGAGATGAGGAAACTGAGGCACACAGGGTTAAGTGACTTGCCCAGGGTCACACAGCCAGTAAGTGTCTGGAGCCAGATTTGAACTCATGAAGCTGAATCTTCCTGATTCCAAGCCCAGTGTTCTATCCACCTCATGACCTAGCTAGCCTTATCACCTGTATTACATATATACATTTACCATACATGTCATCTCATAGCCTCTTAACCCTTTGACTAGATACTACATGCATCATTGTCTCCATTTTGCGGTGATTGTTATTCAGTCATTTCAGTTGTGTCCAACTCTTTGTGACCCCATTTGGGGTTTTCTTGGCAAAGATACTGGAGTGGTTTGCCATTTCCTTCTCCAGCTCATTTTTACAGATGAGGAAACTGAGGCACACAGGGTTAAGTATCTTGCCCAGGGTCATACAGCTAGGAAGTGTCTGAGGCCAGATTTGAACTCATGAAGTCTTCTTGACGCCAGGTGGGGTGCTCTATCCACTATGGCACCACCTAGGCTCAGAGATTTGAAGCGACTTGTCTAGAATCACAAAGCTAAATAAGTATCAGAGATGAGATTTGAACCCAGGTCTTCCTGAGAAGTCCAGTATTTTATCTAATATGCTTTCCGTGACCTTTGAGGTCTCTTCCAACTGCATTCTGATTCTAGCTTTGTCATCTTTGTCTTAATCTCAGTTTCCTTCCCCTTAAATAAAATGATGGGATAAGACCAAATCAAGTCAACAAGGATTTATTAAGGCACTGTGCTAAGTGTTAGGGATACAAAGAAAGGCAAAAACAGTCCCTGCCCCTTTGGCTTCAAGCAGGTGTGAAGGGCAAGGGGGAATTTGCAGTTCCTGCCCTCAAGAAACTTCCAATCTAATGAGACAGAAAATATGAAAACAACTTTTTACAAAACAGTTATAGACAGATAAATTGGAGATAATCACAAAGGGAAGTCACTAGCAAGAAAGGGGATTGAGAGAATCTTCTTGTAGAGTGTGAGATTTCAGCTGGGGCTGGAGGGAAGCCAGGAGGCAGGGATGAGAGGAAGCCATCCAGACATAGGGAATAGTCACTGGAAATGGCCAGTTCCTGGAGATGATGGAGTGTCTGTGAGAGGCACAGCCAGGAGGCTAGTGTTGCTGCATCACAGACTGTGTGGAGGGGGAGTGAGGAGACTGGGAAGGCAGGAGGGAACCAAACAGAAGCAAACAGAGGGTTTTCTGTTTGATCCTGGAGGTAATTCAGACTTGTGCCTTAGATGACTTTGATGGCTGCATGAAGGATGAACTAGAGTGGGGAGATACTTGAGGCAGGAAAGCAGTCAGCAGTCCTACACCAGGGGATGACAGTGCCAGAGGACAGAAGGGAGCGTAGACAAGAGATGTTATGAAGGTAGAAATGTTTAGGGGGCAGCTAGGTGGCGCCATGGTGCATAGAACACCGAGCCTGGAGTCAGGGAGACTCATGTTCCTGAATTCAAATCTGCCCTCAGACACATAGTAATTGTGTGACCCTGGGCAAGTCACTTCACCTTATTTGCCTCAGTTTCCTCATCTGTAAAATGATCTGGAGAAGAAAATGGCAAACCACTCCAGTATGTCTGCCAAGAAAACCCCAAATGGAGCCTCGAAGAGTCAGACACAGCTGAAAAATAACTGAACAACAATAGAAATGCTTATTTAGACTTGGCCGCAGATTCTATCCTGGTGCGGTAGGGGGAGGAGTCAGAGAGTGAGGAATCAAGGATGACCCTTGATGCAAGATGGGGTGACTGGGAATATGGTGGTCTTCTAGAGAAGTTTGGAGGAGGGCAGGGATTGGGGGGGAGCGAGCAAGTTGTAGTTAGAACATGCTGAGTTTGAGGTGTTCATTGGACGTCCAAGATGACCAGATAGATAGCCGGAGATGCAAGACTGGAGGTCAGGAGAGTTTAGGGCTAGATAAATAAGTCTGAGAATCATCAGCATAGAAAAGGTCTGTCTAAGATTCCTTCGAGCTCTGATGTCAAGACCTGGGGTTCTGCTGAAGATGTAGAATCATTAGATTTAGGGCTGAAAAAGATATGATACATCAACCAGTCTTACTGCCTCATTTGACAGATGAGACAGCTGAGGTCCCCAGAGACCAAATGACTTGCCCAAGGTCTCATAGGTAGAAGAAGACAAATCTGGGTCCTGAGAAAAAGGAAAGCAGCAAGAAAAGGCAGTAAAAGACAGTGTAAAGAGCATTAGCTTTGAAATCACAGGTTCTGTGTTCAAATCCTGATTCTGCTATTTACTACCTATAGCACTCTGGGCTTAAGCTTCTCTTCTTTTTTTTTTCTTTTTAGTGAGGCAATTGGGGTTAAATGACTTGCCTAGGGTCACACAGCTAGTAAGTGTCATGTGTCTGAGGTCAGATCTGAACTCAGGTCTTCCTGACTCTAAGGCCAGAGCTCTATCCACTGCGCCACCTAGCTGCCCTAAGCTTCTCTTCTTTCAAATGAGGTGGCTGGTCAAGATGGTCTCCTGCAGCTCTGTATTTTAAGGTTCTTTCAGCTTTTAATTTGCATTGTCCTGAATTAAGTTTTGTTTTGTCCAGACAAGACCACACAGCTGCTGTGTAACAGTCTTTTTAAAAAAAGTATTTTTAAATTCTGAACTTAACAAATACCCAATAAAATGAACATTTCCGCATATAAAGTAGAATAGGAAAAGAAGTTTGTACATAAAACGATAAATCTCTTATTAGGTACAGCTTGCTATTCCTTTTATATAACAAATCCAATATATAATTTCTACAATAAATTATTGTATTGCATATAATTATATTATCATATTATTGCAGTATAATATGTAATCATTGAAGGTATATATTATATATAATTATATCATAATAAATTAGACACATCGCAATATAATAATACATTAGATATTATGATATAATTATATAATTTCTGATTTTGTTATATAATTAATACAATCATATATTATATACTTTATATGATTATATATGTCTATCATTTATATAATAAATTCAATATAGTATTACATAATCAATAATGAATTCAACATGTCACTTTCAAAGCTGTCCTGCTAGTCTATGTTCTATCTCCTTCTGTTCTCTTTTTGTGCTTTGGGTGGGGGGAGGCATTAAAGAATGTTTCAGTGACCCTCTTTTCTTTCTTTTTCTTTTCTTTTTTTACAGCCCAATCACTTTTCCCCTCCAATCTTTTGCCCAAATTGATTTTTTTTTTTTAGCAAATATGCAGTCAAGGAAAACAAATCCCCATAGCGGCTGTCCAATTCAATATATTGGGCTCTTCAGAACACAACATAGATTGTGAGCTCCTCCACCGAGGCCTTTCTTGATTCTATTCTGCCCCGGTCTCACCTGCTATATTGTTAGTCCAAAAATACATGTGCCATTTTGCATCTTGAGTCAATCCCTCTGCAGACAGAGGTGGGTAGTGTGCTACATTGGAAGAACTATTGATTGGTCATTGAATTAGCCAAACACCTTGTCTTTCAAAGTTGTTTTTAACACACAATCTTAAGGAGTTGTCTGGGACACCGGGAGGCTAAGTGACCAGTGCCACCTGGACCATCTATGTCAGAGGCAGGATTTGACCTCCGGTCTTCCTGACTCTGGATCTAGCCCTCTGTCTACTATGCCATGCTATCTTAAACTTGCTTATGTTCATTTTGTTTGGTTCTAAAGGTGGGCCAAGTGGGGGTTATGCCTTGTTTTCTATTTTAAATTCCTTATTTTAGACCCCAGAAGGATCACTAATCTAGGAGGCTTTACAGCTAATAGGCATCCTGGACCGCTTTGGGAAGACAAAGCAATAGGGCTGAAAGTTCTCTGGGAGTGGGTGACCCAAAAGGAAGTGATTCCTAGGAATCCTCTGAGCTGTCACAGCTACTTAGGAGAGGAGGCTAAGTAGAAACTTTAAAGGAATTCTGAGAGAATCATCTTTATTCCAGAGCTCATGGTTTCTCTACTGACTGACATTTCAGGTGTTCCTTTCACCCAACCCCTCAAAATAATAACCAAAATAACTAGCATTAAGGTTTTCAAAGCACTTTACAAATATTATATTTTTCTTACAACAATCCTGGCAGATAGGTATTATTTTTATCATCCTCATTTTCAGCTGGGGAAACTGAGGCAGGTTAATTGGCTTGCCTAGGGTCACATAGCTAGGAATGATCTGAGGCAGGATTTGAACTCAGGTCTTCTTGGCACAAGATCCAGTGTTCTACTCCCTGTACCACCCAGCTGCCTAGAAGCCACACGGTTCTTTAAAACACAACTCAAGTATGACCTCTTACATCAAGGCCTTTCCTAATTCTATCCCACCCCTATCCTACCTCCTACTGTTAGCATTATTTCTTCTTACAGTTACTTTGTGTTTAGTTTACTTATTTATGTATGAATTTTTCTAAAATAAAATATTTTAGGGCAGGTTCTAAAACTCTGTCCCTCTCTGTCTTTCTGTCTGTGTCTGTCTCTGTCTGTCTGTCTGTCTGTCTCTGTTTCTGTCTCTCTTTGTGTCTCTGTCTTTTTCTGTGTCTCTGTCTCAATGTCTGTTCCTATCCCCCTCTGTATTTCTCTCTCTGTCCCTGTCTCTCTTTCTGTGTGTGTGTGTGTGTGTGTGTGTGTGTATGTGTGTGTCTCTGTCTGTCTCTGTGTCACTGTCTCTGTCCCTCTCTATCTTTCTCTCTATCTCTCCTTCTCACCGGCTCTTTTGGACGCCAGATGTGAACACAAGTGATAACCACGGCCATCTTTCTGTTGCAGGCTTCCTACTGCAGCCTTTGTTGGGTGCTTGGAGCGATAGGTGCACTTCAAAGTTTGGAAGGAGACGGCCTTTCATCCTGGTGCTGGCTATAGGTTTGTGCTTTTGCTATTTTAATTCCCCCTCCTTGACTCCCCAGGGATCTCCAAGGATCAACCCTCTGATTTCAGAAAAGCCTAACCTGGTGACGAAAGCAGCTGTTCGGGGAATCCCCACCTGCCTTACTCAGGGAGCAGCTGGTTTGACTTTTGTGTTTTCACCTTCAGACACTCTCCTGGGCTGAGATGTAAATCTTTTTTTCCTTCTTGTGTTCTAGGTGCACTCCTGGGACTTTCACTTTTACTGAATGGGAGAGACATTGGCCTAGCTCTGGCAGACACTGTCAGTAATCATAAATGGGGCATCATTCTCACAGTGTGTGGAGTGGTCCTCATGGATTTCAGTGCTGACTCAGCAGACAACCCGAGCCATGCCTACATGATGGACGTATGCAGTCCTGTGGATCAGGACAGAGGACTGAACATCCACGCCCTCTTAGCAGGTACTGTATTGCTTTCAAAAGGCCAATCATGGCCTTGCTCAACATGGTACCATGACCCTTATACACTGAAGGTTGTTGAATGTGATTTAATTGAATTAACTTCTTACATAACAAAAGCTTCTTAACCATTAAAACTATCTCAAACTTGAATGAGGGTAGGAAGTAATGGGAGGGTCTTCAAGCAAAGGTTGGGTGATCATTTATTTGAGGAATTGTAGAGAACAATCTGTTTTGGGCGCCTGTTAGACTAGCTGTTCTCTGATATCCTGTGATTATGCCTCAGTTGGGGATGAAAAGCAATTCTTTGTAGTCTGGTGGAAAGGGATGATGATTTGCACCAATGGAAGGAATTGCCCCACAGATGAGAAAAGAGGTTAATCCAAGTGGGAAAACGAAGTTCTTGTAGTGATTGAGTTCCACAGAATGCCTGAAAGAGTGAGGCCATTTACAGGTCAGAGGATCATAAAGTTGGAAGATGTCCAAGAAGACATCAAGTCCAACCCTTTCATCTTACAGAAGAGGAAACTGAGGCCCAAAGTCATTAAGTGACTTGCCAAAGGTCAAACAGGATTTCAATTCAGCACTCTTGACTCCAAATCTAACACTCTTTCTTCAGTCAAGGAAAAGAAATAGCTACATGGCTTATTTTAACATCTGTATACTTCTAATGGAGCAGGAGGGGTAGTACAACATAGTGGATAGAGCCTCAAAGTTAAGCCCCAGGCTCAAGTACCACTTCTGACTCACATTGCACGGATGACCCTGGGGAAGCCCCTCAGCCTGCCTCAGTGTCCCCAGACAGCTGTCTCAGTCTGTAAGTCACAAAGCAGATGCTGATCTGCTTTGTGGGAGGGAGTTTACTCACAGGGAGGAAATGCCAATGAAATAGAAGGTCTAGACCGAAAAAAAGAATTTTCTAATGAGAGACAGCAGGTCTCACTTTGCATTCAGGAGGATTTGGATTTAAGATCTGCCTCCAATACATGTAGGATCAGAGGGAGTTTCAATATTGCTAGTTCTGATACTGGTGAAATCATAGATCTGGACCAAATGAACAATACTTTTAAGGTGAAGAGTATTAGAAATGAAACAAACAAAAAAGGAGCTGTTATGTACAAAATAAATACAAGGTGACTTGGAAGAGGGAAGACCACATTCAATGGATGGGGGCAGGAAGGTGATGCTTGAACCAAGCTCTGAAGGGAAATTCAAAATTTCCAGAGACATATAGCAAGAGGGGTGACCAGGGAAGGGAGGTTTAATCTGGGGGCGAGGGGGTTGTCACAGGAACAGTGAGTGGGGAGACGGGACAATCCATTTTCCTGTCCTTTCCAGAAGAAATGGTAGTACTGATTTGATGATTGTTTTCAGAGCAAGAGATGAAAAGGGGGCATGTGTAGGGCAAGGAGGTGTACTCCCATGGCAGGACGGATGGTGACATGGCCCAAGACATCATGGATGGATGGATGGGTGGATGGATGGATGGTTGGGTGGATGGGTGGGATGGATGGATGGATGGATGGATGGATGGATGGATGGATGGGTGGATGGGTGGGTGGATGGATGGGTGGTGGGTGGGTGGTGGATGGTGGATGGATGGATGGGTGGTGTGGGTGGGTGGATGGGTGGGTGGGTGGTGGGTGGGTGGATGGGTGGATGTGTGGTGGGTGGATGGTGGGTGGGTGGGTGGGTGGAGGTGGTGGATGGGTGGGTGGATGGGTGGGTGGTGGTGGGTGGTGGGTGGTGGGGTGGGGTGGTGGGTGGGTGGATGGGTGGGGGATGGATGGGTGGTGGGTGGATGGGTGGGTGGGTGGCTGGGTGGGTGGGTGGATGGATGGGTGGGTGGGATGGGTGGGTGGATGATGGTGGTGGGTGGATGGATGGATGATGGGTGATGGATGGATGGGTGGGTGGTGGGTGAGTGGATGGATGGATGGATGGATGGATGGATGGATGGATGGGTGGGTGGATGGGTGGGTGGGTGGGTGGATATGAAGCATGGTCTGGGGCAAGTTATTCATGGTTTTTAGGTGATTTTACATTCACTCAGTAGCCAATCAAGCTCCGCTTGAGTGGAGGTCTGAGCTGAACAGATTAACTCACCCAGGGAAAAGAGGAATGGTCTCTGGACCCTATGGGGTTATTCCACGTAGGAGAGCAGGAGCAGTGAAAAGACAGCAAAGTATTCAGGCTGGATGGATGATTACAGTCAATGAGGATATTAAGGGCTAACATGAAAAACATTAGATCCCAGAATTTTAGGTTGGAAGACACCATTTAGCCTGAATCATAGATGAAGAATTCCTTTACTATGTACCTAACAAGTGTAAAAAAAAAATTAACACTGTATTCTTTATTTCAAATACAGCTCTGTTGAAAGCATTTTGTTTAACAATTGTTCTATATCCCAGTCATTGCTAACAAATGGAAAAATGTCCAAATTGCACCTCCCTTTCTCCTCATTGCCCTCCAACATGGGTATACCCCAAGATGATTTCAGATAAATTTTGTAGGATTCCTTCACAGGAAAAAAAAATCATGATGTATTAAAATGGAATTTGTGGTTAACATTCTAGAATAATAGTCACTACTCAATTCCTTCCTGGACCACCACCCCCATCAGGGATTGAAAGGAAAGTGATCCTGTGATCAATATCACAATACCTTCTGATAGCAGAGGAAGGCCCTTCCTCTGAGCAGCTTAAAGGATGCTTGATTCAGGGAATGGGGAAGGCAAGAATCTAAACAAGACATGACAAATTTGGTCACTGTCCCCACTCCATTTCTTTCTTTCTTTCTTTCTTTCTTTCTTTCTTTCTTTCTTTCTTTCTTTCTTTCTTTCTTTCTTTCTTTCTTTCTTTCTTTCTTTCTTTCTTTCTTTCTCTCTTTCTCTCTTTCTCTCTTTCTTTCTTTTTTATTTTTGCTAGGCAGTAGGGTTAAGTGACTTGCCTAGGGTTACAATGCTAGGAAGTGTCCAAAGTCACATTTGAACTCAGGTCCTCCTGACTCTATATCATGCTCTATTGGGGCTGCAAGGTGGCACCATAGTGCACAGAGTGCTGAGCCTGGAAGCAGGAAGACACATCTTCTTGAGTTCAAATCTGGCCTCACATACTTACCAGCTGTGTGACTCTGGGCAAGTCACTTCACTCTGTTTGCCTCAGTTTCCTCATCTGTAAAATGAGCTGGAGAAGGAAATGGCAAACCACTCCAGCATCTTTGCCAAGAAAAACCCAAATTGGGTCATTAAGAGTTGGGCATGATGGAAACAAATGAACGACAACAACAGAATCATGCTCATATTCGTACCCTGCCATTTGTTTAGACATTTTCCAAATGATGTGGTCCTGCTTTATTTCCATGTTGTTGCTACCACAAAAAGTGAATATTTTTACACACATGGGACCTTTCCCTCCACCTTTGACTTCATAAGGAATATAAACTGTTTTCTCCTCTCCTCCCCAACCCTTCCTTTCCTGCCTTTCTTCCTTTCTCTCCTCTCCCCTCCCCTCCCCTCCCCTCCCCTGTCCCCTCCCCTCTCCCCCTCCTCCATTCTCCCCTCCGTTCTCCCTTCCCCTCCCTTCCCTCCTCTCCTCTCCTCTCTCTCCTCTCTCTCCTCTCCTTCCTCTCCTCTCCTCTCCTCTCTCTCCTCTCCTCTCTCCTCTCCTCTCCTCCTCTCCTGTCCTCTCCTCTCCTCTTCTCTTCTCTCTTCTTTTCTCTTTCTGTCCTCTCCTTTCCACTTCTCCTCTTCCGTCCTTGGCAAGGAAAGGGATTTAAATCCTATTTTTCTCATCAGGTCTTGGAGGAGGCTTTGGATATGTCGTTGGCGGAATAAACTGGGACAAGACCAGTTTCGGCAGAGCCCTGGGGGGGCAGCTGCGAGTCATTTATGTCTTTACTTCTGTCATCTTGAGTATCACCACAGTGCTGACACTCATCAGTATTCCAGAGAGGCCCCTGAAGCCCTTTACCAAGAAGAAAACTGTGATGAAGAGCCCAAGCCTTCCTCTTCCTCCTTCTCCCCCTGTTTTGTTCGAGGAAGGCACCACTGACAATCTGGGCTCTCAGAATGCAACTCATTTATATGCCAGTTTTTCCAGCCCTATTTCTCCTCTCAGCCCTCTCACACCCAAATATGGCAGCTTCATCAGCCGGGACAATTCTCTGACCGGAATTAATGAGTTTGCTTCTTCCTTTGGAACTTCTAATATTGACAGCGTACTCATAGACTGCTTTACTGCGGGGCACGATAACTACCTGGCCCTACCTGCTAGCTTACCCAGGCAGACCATCAGTGTCAGCTTTCCAAGGGCCCCTGATGGCTTCTATTGTCAAGAAAATGGAATTCTGGAAAGAGGGGCAGTCTCAGTAAGTCATGGGCCAGAAGGAGATACGTTAAGGGTGGGCTCTTTGGATGCTCCAAAGCCTCGATCGTCTGGGATACTGAAAAGGCCTCAGACATTAGCCATCCCAGATGCTGTAATAGGAAGTTGTCCAGAAAGTAGCAGGAGAAGGAATGTGACCTTCAGTCAACAGGTAAGAGCAAATAAAGGGAGGGGAGAGGAAGATCTAACAGCATTTGTTAGTGAACATGATCTACTTAGAGCTAGTATTTAGGAATTACTGCAGATGAAGCATGGGTGGAACTTAAAAAGAGGGAAAATGAGCTTTGATATGGGGGAAAATTACTAATCGGAGCTGTCCAAAAGTGAAGGTCTGCCTTAAGAAGTAGTGGGTTCCCTTCACGAGAGGTCTCAAGCAGAGGCTGCAGGCTCATTTGTCAGGCATAGTATAGTGGGAATTCATTTTTCAGAGTTGAGTGGGACCAGAGAATGGCTGAGGTCTTTTCTACCTCCACAATTCTATGAGGCTGTGAAAGTAGCATGAGCTGCTACAGGAGGTAGTGAAGCTCCTCCCTGCCAGTCCTTGAGTGAAGGAAGTCTGGCCCGTCAGCTGTTTGTTGGGTATATTGGAGAGGCCAGAACAAAAACTAGGTTAAATTTTTGGGATGTGAAAGCTGATGCCCTCCTTCAGCAGCTAAGAGGAATGGAGTTTAAAGCACTTGGTTGAAATTTTTTTCAACTAAAATTCAATTTTCTCTCCCTCCCATCCTGTACCATAGGGAAAAACAAAACAAAACCTTTATGACAATATGCATAGTCAAGCAAAACAAATCCTTGCATTGGCCATGTCCCAAAAGTCTTGTATCGATCTCACTCTGCACTTTGAAGGATCACCGCTCTGTCAGGAGAGCATTTGGCTAGATTTTAAGAATCAGAGCATTTGGCTAGATTTTACCACCTTAATGGAGACAAGATGGACCTTATATATAGAAAGACTGTGGGAGGGATCCAGGAGTGGCCAAGTTGTCTGGGGTGACTGGAAGATCTGGATGGGAGTGGCCAGTAAGATGGGGTGAACAGAACCAGGGAGAATAGAGTCTAGATAGGATTAAGGGTGGGAAGTGGCCAGGGGCTATCAAGAGGTAAGGAACAGAACTGGGAGATTGGGAGTAGACACAATAAAAGGCCAGTTGATCGATTATAGCCTCAGGTGAACTCTAGAGATTTAGCCAGGTAGGAAAGTCCAGGGTTTTCACTTTTTGGGGTCCAGATCCCAAAGACATGGTCTTTTCCTTTTAGGGGTTCAGATCCCATCCCCATCATTCTCCCCCTCAAACAAATGGGACCCAAATTCTTTTGGGGTAAGGGGTGAAGGTCTTGGCTTCTGAAACTGCATCCTGCTGGCAAGGAGCGTAGAGCTGTCCCTGCCTTGAGGGGGTCCCAAAGAGGTTAACTGGAACCAAGGGCAGGCTGCATCCAGGGGATGATGGGGGGACATTGGCTGGTACCCACTGTTTGCTACCAACTGTAGGTGAATGTCCTGTAGACACAGGATGCAAATCTGACAGAAAATACTGCAGAGCCCAGATATAGGGAGAAGTAAAAGTGTAAGAGCCCCATTAAAATCATTTACATTTGACCTGCATGATTATCTGATTTTGTTGCTTTTTCTAAAATGTAAGTAACACTTTTGCAGGTAGAAGTTTTCCACCTCTGAGTTCAATAGTTATACAAATGAATTTGCCAAGAGATTGACTTTCACTTCAATTATCGCTGAAGTTCTCTTTCCCAAGTCAAACTGAAGATGTTTCTGATTTAATTTCAGTTGGGTATTGAATGACTACACATTCAGGTCAAAACAGCAAGATCTCACACACTTGCATTGATCTTTTACTGACCACTTGGTCTGATTGTAGAAATTTGCTATAGAAGGATAAAGCAGGGACTAGATTTAGGGCCCAAATATGACAGGATAAAACATCCTTAGCTCTGTTTGGATTCAGATAATTCAGTTTTCCAACCATGCAGTATCAAATCCACCTCATAGCCAGACTCAGGAATAGCCAGGTGGGTAATATTCCTTTTCAAAGGAACAAAATGGGGAAACTGAGCTAGCAGGATCCCCTCTTAGACTGAGACTAAAATTGTCCTCTCAGCTTTTCCCGATGCTAACTTACCACCAGTTTCATGTTCTCTCTGAGCAGCTTGTGGCATTTCTCTCAGATAGTGGATTATTGATTATCAATGGATTATTATGATCCATCAGACAACTGAAAATAAAATACGAGAAGGAATTTTTGTTCAAAAGGGTAGGACAGGATAACCTTTGGGTTCTCTTCCAATTCTGAGATCCTGTTTGAGTCTGTAAAGTGGCAGTTGCCATATTGTAAGTAGGTATTAGCAATTACATGTGAAAAAAAACCCCAGAAAGTCTTGTAAATGGGAAACTCCTAAACTTCTATAAAGAGTTATGCAGGCTCAACATTTGTCTAGAGGTGTGTTAGCTTTATATCAAGCTGACTGGATGACCAAAATGAATACAATTCAATAAACATTTATTATGAGTCTACTATAAGCAAGTTACTCTTACGCTGTGGGGAAACAGAAGTGAGATTGAAATAGTTCCTGCCTTCAGAGAGCTTACATTCTACAAGGAGATACACATGCATAAATGAGTAAGTGAAAAGTATACAGAAAGTGATTCAAAGTTACTTCATAAGGGAGAGAGAGTGCTAATAGCAGGGAGCTTTGAGGAAGCTTAGGATACCACTGGGCAGGAGGGAGGGAATCAGCAGACTGGAGAGGCCACTTCCATGGAGGCACAATGCCAGGAGATGGCGGATCATGGAGAGGGATGGCTGGCAGTTGAAGAGCTGGGGAAGGTAAGAGTATGAAATTAGGATGGGATTGTGTTCCTAATGCCAAGAGGAAGAAATTGTACTTTTATCTTTTGGGCCAGAGGGACACACTAAAGTTTGGTGACCCAGCCAGCCAGAGATGTGTCTTAGTAATATTCATTTGGCAGCGTGTAGAAGACAGATTGGTGAGCGAAGAGACTAGAGTCTGGAAGATGAATTAGTAGCCTATGATAATAGATAAAATGAGATAAAATTTAAGCATCTTGCAAACTCTAAAGTGCCATAGAAATGCTTATTGTTATTGTTGTTAATTATCCAGGTGAGAGGTGATGATTGCCTAAAATAGAACAGAGGCTTTGTAAATGGAGGAAGGAGCCTGAGGGGACAGATATAGGAGCAACTTGACGACTTATTTGATTGGGCTGTGGAGGGAGAGAGAAGAGTTAAGGATCAGTACAGAGTTAGGAAGGGGGGTGACAGGAAGGATGATGGCATCCTCAACAGAAATGGGGAGCCTTGGAGGAGGCATAGATTTGGGGAAAATAAGTTTCTTTTAGGGCATGTTGAGTTTGAGACACCTATGGGTCATCGGATGGAGATGTTCAGCATCAAGGAACTCAGGAGAGAGTGTGGGGCTGGATTTGGGGAATCATCTTAAAGGAGATGATCATTGAATCTCTGGGATGTGATTAAGACACTGAAGGAGAATGTAGAGGTAAAAGGGCCTAGGGCAAAGTGACCAACCTTTAAAATGCTGGCATACCTGAAGAGAACACCAGTAAAGGAAATACACCCTAGACAAGTTGTTGGGTTTGTCATGGAATATTTTAGGACCTTCATTTATTTCTTGAGCTGACCATCAGATATCTTAACTATGGGTATATTTGGTTTATTGTTGTTTGCCCTTCGTTCTCGAGGAAGACCAACGACATCACAAGGTCTTAGAAAAGGCAGTAACCCCAAGAGATAAAAAGTAAGCATCATACATATAAAGACTGAAGGAATCAGTTATCTCAAGTATCTACCATTAAGTCCCTGAAGAAAATAAGCGATGCTTGGAAGGATGGTGAGTTGACTTCTTTTTCCAGGAAGATAAAGCAACTCTCGAAGAGATCAACCTCTACTTAAATGCCTGTTGGCTGGGTGACAAGAACACAAACTAAATCCTGGGTTTTATTTTGCTCTGATTGGATATGACCTTGAGCCACTACCTAAAGAGGCCATTTTACTATCTGTAGAGTAGGGTTAAAACATTGATGTGGGTAAAGGGTGAAGGTGATTCAGTTTAAGTCAATCCAATGAGCATTTAGTCATTGCCTGCTGTGTGCAAAGCACTGTGCTACCTCCAAAACAAGAATGAAACAGTCGTAGTTTCAGAGATGGAAGGTTCCAACCCACATAATATGCAGATGAGGAAACTGAGGTCCAAAGATGTGAAGATGTCTAAGTATCAACAGGTAGTAAGTGGCTGAGCCAGAATTTGAACCCAGGTCCTCTAACTCCCAGTCTGGAGTTTTGTCTACTACACCTCATGTTCTACAAGTTTCCTCCCTCAAGGAGCTAACAGTCTATTGGGGCACTTGCATGGCTAAATAAATACAAAGTAATTTTCAGGAAAGTGGGGGGGGAGCACCAGTAATCTGTGTAATCAGGGAAGCCTCTATGTGGGAGGTGGGACTTGGGGTGAGCCTTGAAAAAAGCTCAAGTTTCCAAGAGGAAGGAGAGTATTCTGAGCCTGGGAACACCCTCGACAAAGGTCCAGAGCTGAGCGATGGAGTGTTGAGTCTCGGGAATAGTTAGGAGGCCCATTGGGAAGTGGGGAGGGATCATGTGAAGCAGTGGTTTCCATATGAATTTTGACCTTCAGGGACCCAAGGTCATAGTTCTGCAGTCAATGACCCTGCAGTAACTGATAAAGTCTGCCACACCAAGTATGACAGTGATACCAAGGCTCATACTAAAATGTGTATCTGGATGCCAATTTGAAATGTAAACACTGCATGTCCCAAGGTGGATAAAGGCATGGTCTTTATGCAGGAGGACCTAGGTTTGTAAATTATCTCTGCCCCTAAGTACAAATACAACCCTGGACAACACTTCTTCTCTCTGGGTGCCAGTTTCCTTATTCATAAAATAAAGGGGTTGGATTAGCTGATCCCTAAATTCCCTTACAGCTCTAAATTGTAGTCCCTCCCCCCACTCCAATATCTGCTGACTCTTAAGTTGATTTCAGACCTGAGTTCAAATTTGGCCTTCAGACTCATAGTAGCTGTGTGACCCTGGGCAATCACTTGACCTCTTTACATCAGTTTCCTCATCTGTAAAATGAGGATTTAAAAAAAAAAGCATCTAACTCCCAGGACTGTTTTGAAGATGAGATGAAATAATATTTGCAAAGCGATTAGGGATGTGCCCAGTGCTTGTTACATGCTATATAAACAACAACAATAATAATTATTGTCATCATCATCTCAAAGAGTCACAAAAGTTCAGACTTGGAAGGGACCTCAGTGGGCACCCTTCCCTGTAAAAGAAGGCCCTCTGCCATGTTCCCAACAAGAGTCACCCAACCTCCGCTTAGAGCCCCCCAAGGAGGGGACCCCACCACTGCCCGAGGCAGCTGATTCCGCTCTTAGGTAGCTCCAATTGGTAGGCAGTTTTTCCCTTTTATCAAAAGTCTAAATTGTTTTCTTTGCAATTCCCCTCTCTCTCCCAATTAAGGCACTTAATTCTATCTTCAGAATCTAAACAGAATAAGCTTAATCCCTCTTTCCTGTGACAACATTCTAAGTTTTTTAAGACAGCTAGGTGGCACAGTGGATAGCATGCCAGGCCTGGAGTCAGGAAGACCCTGGGCAAGTCACCTACCCTTATTTGCCTCAGTTTCCTCATCTGTAAAATGAGCTGGAGAATGAAATGGCAAACCACTCCAGTGGTCATACAGGGTCACAAGGAGTCAGACATGACTGAAGTGAATGAACCACAACAACATGGTTTCCCCTGGTACTCCCCTCAAGGCTTAACTTCCCCAGTTCCTTCAACTGATCTTTACATAGCACAGATTCTAGTCTCTTCACTGTGATGGCGACTTAAAATGTTTCTCCCCTCTTTGATTCTCTGTAATGCCAAAGGTCACTTAACCTGAAGACCTAGGTTCAAATTCTGACTCTCCTGTTTACAAGTTGTGTGACCTTGAATAATTCACTCTGTTTTCTCATCTGTAAAATGATGGGGTTGTACTAGCTGGACACTGGGGTTCCTTCCAACTCTAAATCCTTCCACCCTAGGTCTGTCCTTTTCCAAATAGCAGAGGAATACTGGAATGGCCACCAGAGGGTGCATAAGCCATCACCTGGTTTCCATTTTCTCCTCCTTAGTCCCTTTTAGCTCCAAATCTCTGCAACTGTTAGCAGTGAGTTCATGCTGGCATGGGGAGCCTGCAGCCTCGAGGCTGAAGTCTGACTGAAGTCAAAGGGCCGCACTTGAGGACCTAGAGGGTCACATGTGGCCTCGAGGCTGCAGGTGTCCCCATCCCTGGTAGAGTGTCCTGGATCCCTCCTACACATGTGGCATGGAAGCTTTGACCTGTTTCCTTTCTGACTTGGGTTACTCCATTCCTCCTTGGGTAGCCTGGCGCTCCCCCAGCCCTACTTTTGTCCTCCTGCAATTCAGACCTCCCATCTCAAGTGGCCCACCAACCTCCCTGGGAGCAAGGACCGCAAGCATTCTGCCCCGTCTTCTGATTCTAGCCTTGTCCTTCCTTTTCTCCTGATTTCCTTCGAACGAGCCAATCCTTTGGCTGTGATGATCGACAGCCTTGCCGCTAGCTTGATTTCTGTGCTTTTATTCTTTACAGGTTGCTAATATCTTACTCAATGGTGTTAAATATGAGAGTGAGCTGAATGGCTCTGGGGAGGTCTCGGAGCAGTCGCTTTCCTTGCGGCGTCTCTGTTCTACCATCTGCCATATGCCCAAGGCTCTTAGAAATCTCTGTATCAACCATTTCCTGGGTGAGTGCTAACCCCATGATGGCTAAGGAAGAAAGGGGAAGTCCTGACCACAAAGATGATGTTCAAGGTGGCTCCCCCATGGAAGGTCCTACCATTAAAGTTACTCTTTGGAGTTCATGGGATGTAGATCTGGAAGAAACTTCATAAGTCATAGGTTCATAGATTTTGAGCTGGAAGGATCTCAGAGGCCATCTGACAGATGATGAGGAAGGTGAGACCTCTGACTTGCTCAGAGGTATACAGGTGGCAAATGGCAGAGTTGGGATTGGAATCCAAGTCCTCTGCTTTTGAATATAGAATTCTTAAGGCACCATCTCCAGAAGGTCCCCTTTAATTCATTTTAAGCAGCTGGTTGGCACAGTGTGGATAGAATACTGGATAGAATTCAGGAAGACCTGAATTCCAATCTTGCCTAAGTCACTAACTAGCAGTGTGACCCTGGAGAAGTCACTTAACCTCTGCTTGCCTTAATTTCCTCATATATAAAATGAGAATAATAATAATAACACCTATCTCTCAGTCTTGTTTTGAAGAATTATATGTGTATTAAAGAATATATTTAAAGCATTTTGTAAACCTTAAATACTTATATAAATGCAATTATTATTACTGATTTTTCAAAGTAGCTAGCTGAAACTATGGTACAGAGTCATTGTTGAGCGGCAAGGTTATGACAAAATAAAGAGGAGGGTGAGTCTGAAATCAATACAGCTCCATTTCCAGGTTCACCTGCCCCTTCTGAGTCCCTAAGAGGGAGATACCTATTCCTAAACTGATTAGGAGGACGTATAAGAGTCAATGATAAATTTTTATTTTTATTTTTCACTTTTGCTTTGGGCCAAACCAATATTAAGCAATTGTAGATGGGCCAGAGAGCTACAGCTTCAGTGTGTGACATGACAAGCAGGTACCCAAGACATTCATAAAAATAGTTACACAAATCAATGTTTTGGCCTCTTGCAAATTAAAACAGCCAGTTCACCCCTCTGACGCTTACTCCCAATATGACCTTAGGCAAGTCACTTAACAGGAGCTAGCATTTATATAGGGCTTTAAGGATTGATAAGGGCTTTACATATGTTCCCTAATTTGATCCTCACAACAACCCTATGACGCAGGAGCTATTATCCCCATTTTTTTTTACAGTTGAGGAAACGGAGGCAGACAAAGTGAAGTGATTTGCCCATCGTCATATAGCTAGTAAATGTCTGAGGCTGGATTTGAACTCTGTCTTCCCGACTCCAATCCTGGTTCTTTATCCAAGGCACCATCAGTTGCCTAGCATTTGAAAATTTTTAAGAATCCCCAAATCTCAGAGTTGGAAGGGGCTTCAAACGTCCTTTCACCTGAGCCATGCAACCCTCTTTGCATCATCCCAGATAAGTGACCCTAAAGCCTTTACTCAAAAACTTCCTGGGAGTGGGGTCCTTGTACCTCTTCAGGAAGCCCATTCTTCTTTCTGGTAGCTTACTATTTTGAAGTTCGTTTGTCTTTTTTTTTTCCCTGCCATGAAACCTAAACCTTTGTTCACTGTTGTGCCTACCCATTATCCCCTCTGGGCCAAGAAGAATAAATCTGAACCTCTTTCCACTTGACTGGAAAGGGAAGGGAATAAACATTTATATAGAGCCTACTATGTTCCAGCCGCTGGGCTAAGCACTTTTTACAAATATTATCTCAATTGACTGTCCTTCATATGCTTAAAGACAACTATCACGTCCCTCTACCAATTCCCCCACTCCCTTGGGCAAGTCACATAACCTTTATGATCCTCAGTTTCCTCATGTGTAAAATGACTTGATGGACTAGATGACTTCTAAGATCCCTTCCAACTTTATGTTCATGGTTTCTCTTCTCCAGCCTAAATATCCCCAGTTGGGGCAATTAAATAAATAGACAAACAAATAAATAGCTGAACAAACAGATAGTATATATGTTAAGAACATACATACACACACACACACACACATACACACACACACATATATATATATATATATATATCTGTAAAATGTTTGTATGTATACGTATATTTTGTTATAGGAAAAAGAAAAATATCTCCCTTCAAGTTTGTGTGGTAGGTTATTGTTGCCAAATAAACCTATCACAATGTAGAAGTTAGGTGAAAACCTAGGTTTATATGCTTAACTACAGGTTCAAGGGTTAGAAAAATAACCCTAAACCAAGATTAGGGTTCTAACAAGGCTTTTTATAGACAAAAATTACATCAGAGGGAGAAATATCTTTTATATATAGCTATTGAACACATCTTCTTAGACCATAAAATTGAACAGATTTAGTTAAATGCTATCTCATCCATCTCCTAAGGAGACAGACCTAACAAAAGAGACTATAGGTAAACTAAATCAGGTTACAGATTAAACTGACTACATTGAGAGAGTTCACAATGGGCTGATTGAGAAGAGGAGATTTACACGTCATAAAGACAACCAAAGGTGGCCAGAAGAATCCTTCCACAAATAGTTACATAAATCACTTTGGGAAGCTCAAGTTCCCTTTTGGTTTCTTATCTCAAGAATCTCAAAAAGTCTTCCTTTAATACTACCATTCTATGAGTCAGAATTTTAGCTAGGTGAGGTTAATATTAACAGGAGACAGGTTTCATTTAGCCAAAGGTTCCAGGAGGAATGACATAATAAAATGAAATACAAAAATTCTCATAACAGTATCTTATTGCAGTGATTACACATTTGTTGAATCCCTCTTCTATGGGATAGCTTTTGAAGTCCTTGAGATAGTGGTTTCTCCCTTCCCCTTTTCTCTTCTTTTGACTAAACATCTCTACTTCCTGCACAGATCCTCATGGACTTTCACCATTTGCATGTTCCAAAATGAAGGCATTAGATGAAGAGGGAGTGAGGAAGGGGTAGTACTATCTAATTAATGATACACAGATGGGCATAAGAAGCCCTTCTCTGTGTGATGTTGTGAGGAAGGGCCTATTATGTGCCAGGCATTGTGCTAAGCACTCTACAAATATTATCTCATTTGATCCTCACAACAATCCTAGGAGGTAGGTACTGTTACTATTCTCATTTTACAGATGAGGAAACTGAGGCAAACAGAGGTTAAGTGACTTGCCCAAGGTCACACAACTAGTAAGTATCTGAAGCCAGATTTTAAATCAGTCTTCCTGATTCCAGACCCAGTGTTCTATCCACTGCACTATTTAGCTATAGGGTGAGAGAGTAGGATTCCTGTATTAGAAACTTTTTCTACTTATGTCTTTTCTCACAGGGTGGCTCTCATTTGAGGGCATGCTGCTATTCTACACAGACTTTATGGGTGAGGTGGTCTTCCAAGGGAACCCCAAAGCCCCTCACATTTCAGAAGACTATCAGAAATATAATGCTGGAGTCACCATGGGATGCTGGGGGATGTGCATCTATGCATTCAGCGCAGCATTCTATTCAGGTATTCAGGGCAACCACATGACCCAAACAATGTTTGTTGTTGCCTACAATGGGCCAAGTACTGTGCTGGGTGCTGGGGAGACCCAAGACAAGAGTGAAGCAGACCCCACCCTCAAGGGGCTTGCATTCTCCCGGGGAAAACACAGACACAGATAAGTCAACATACAAATATGCAAAAGTGATTTGGGGGTGGGGTGAAACTCTAATTATTGGGGGTGGGAGAGGGGTTCAGGAAAGACCTCTTACGGGAGGCAGCTTTTAACTTGAGCCTAGAAGGGAGATGGTGAGTCCCAAGAAGTAGAGTTGAGGAGGGAGAGTATTCCAGGCATGGGAGCCAGCCGCTGCAAAAGCAAGGAGATGAGAGACGGAAAGTCAACTGAAGGGCGTTGAGAGCATCAGGTAGGTCAGTTGGATTGAAATGGAGGACAAGTGGTCAGACTAGAAACATGGGTTAGAACTGTATTCCAAAAGGCTTGAAATGCCAGACAGAGGCAATAAGGATGTCATATCAGTAGACAGATTGATAGGTAGATAGTTACACAGATATCTGTTCAGAAGGAAGTAATAATAACTAACATTTGTAGAGAGCAAAGTACTTTACAAATATTATCTCATTTGATCCTCACAACCCTGGGAATTAGGTGCTATTGTTATTCCTTCTTTACAGATGAGGCAGGCAGGTGAAGTGACTCGCCCAAGGTCATATAGCTAGGAGGTGTTTGGGGCTAGATTTGAATTTGGGTCTTTCTCCCTCCAGGACTGGTGCTCTATCTACTATCCCACCTAGCTGCCTCAAAAAGGTTAGGTTCCAGATATCTTTGAAATTTTGTGTAACATTTAACTGGGCACTGAGATATTTTAACAGTAGGTCTATTTGTGTCTTTTATTAAATGTTCCAGACCCTTTGGAGAAGACACAGCTTCTTTTGACAGTTTTCTTTTGTATCAACTTCCCACTAACTTTAAAATGATAGATTTAACACCCTTTCTAAACAGTCTCCTCTTGAAAGAAGACTATGAACATTTTTTGCTGTTGTTTTAAACTTTGCCTGCTGCTATCAAGTGGGAAATGTAGTACTAAAACTATATAAATGTGAGTTGTCAGTATTAAATTTTCAAAATTATGTTCTATATTACTATAGCTATTAATTAGTATTATTGGGGGTATTTTTCATTTAGTGAAAAGTTTGACAGTAGACCATTCTATGTTAAATGATTTGTTTGAACACATGTGCAATTCCCTATTTTTAGTTTTGTTGAGACACTTCTAAATTATTTCAGATTAAATTACTCATGAAAGTAGGTACACTACAAATTAAATTTAATAGGATACATTTTAAAATGCATTGTAATAAAGTATGTTGTTATTCTCAATATACATTCTAATAAAGTAAATGTATTTTTAAAATCCTGTAGTAAATAAATACATCTTAATCCTTTGACCTACAAAAAAAAATTCCCTTGTTAGGTAACACAATCAAACACTGATCACATAGATAAATGGAGGTGGAAGATTTCTTCAAAGTTTCTTTGTAGGTAGAGAAAATTAATCAATATATTTTAAAAATATAATAAAATAAAATCTTATAAAATCTAATGTTTATAAAATGTTATAAAATCTAACATTTGCATTCTGCATGTGAAACTGCTGCTGAGGATTCTCATCAAGACAAAATGAAAAATGAACTTGACATGCAGTTGATAAGGGATGTTCCCATATTATAAAATTGGTGACCCCATGACTACTTGCACTAGATGGGGTACCCTAATTTTTACAAATGGAGAAGGCATACGATCTTGCAAGGCAGTGACAAGATTTACGGTAAAGATATAAATGGTCCTTTTTACACTTAGACCCCAAAGGACATTCAGCCACTGACGACCCTCAGGGCTGACATTTCTGCAGTGCCAACACTTTCTGTGACTCCCAGCACAAAAACCTTGAGCAGTTGAGCTTTCAATAGCAAATGGGGCTGTGGCAGCCGACTCATATTTGGAGCAAGCTTTTTGAAAAACTGCTACCCCACTGGATGAAGGGGAACATCTAATGCTTTCAATTTAATTCAATCTAGCCAGCATTTATTAAGAATTACTTACTATGTATGGTTCAGGCATTATGTCAGGTGCTAGGGAGACAAAGGAAAAAACTGAAACTCTTCCTGCCCTCAAGAATCTTACCTTCTACTTGGGGATGGGGAATTTACAAATATGTAATACACAAGGTCATTTCAAGGAGGAGTGGAGCGCACATTAAAGGCTTTGTGTAGGAGGTACTAGCTAAGACATGCTTTGAAGGAAGCTGAGGATTAACAGGAGTCAGAGATGAGAAGGGAATATGTTCCAGGCATGGGAGACCACCTGTGAGATGTCACGTACCAGGCTAGTTTGACTGCTACAGTCAAAGTGAAAGGGAATGGTATGAAATAGTCTAGGAAAGGTAAGTGGGAGACGGGCTGAGGAGTTCATGGGATGTTTTATGATTTCTGTGGTGGTTCACTATCTTTCTCTGTTTTGTAGCAATGCTAGAAAAGCTAGAAGAATACTTCAGCATTCGCACCCTGTATTTCATTGCCTATCTTGCCTTTGGATTGGGGACAGGTCTTGCCACACTCTCCAGGAATATCTATGTGGTTTTATCACTATGCATAACATATGGGATATTATTTTCTACCCTCTGCACCCTCCCCTATTCTCTGTTGTGTGATTACTACCAGAGTAAAAAGGTAAGTGGTACCTCACCCTGCTCCCCTTCATAGTCATGAAAAATCTTAAAATGGAAACTTGTTTTACTTAGGCCAATTTCAATTTTGCAAACCTTTTAGGGTTGATCAATACACCAATCGATACACCTGAGTCCCGCCTGAGGCAGACTGCATAGAGGACTGCCTGGGGCTCACAGGGACCTAACCGACCTGACCTTAGTGCCTCAGAAGCAGAATTTGAACCCAAGTTTTCCTTCTTGATTCTAAGTAGAGCATTCTATCCACTACACCAGATGAAACAACATAATGTAAAGTGCTTTGTGTACCTTAAAGCATTATATAAACAGTTGCTATTGCTACTATTACACCATACAACCTTTCTAGGAGAGAGACCACTAAATTGGTTTCTTCTTACCCTTTCCCTCTCTGGCCACTCTTTCCAATTCTTTTGCCAGGCTCCCTGTAGTTGCTGCCATGTTTGTATAGAAGATTGAGTTGAGTGGGGTTGGAAGAAAAGTAAATCCCTCCCTCCCTCCCTCCCTCCCTCCCTCCCTCCTTTCCTTCCTTCCTTCCTTCCTTCCTTCCTTCCTTCCTTCCTTCCTTCCTTCCTTCCTTCCTTCCTTCCTTCCTTCCTTCCTTCCTTCCTTCCTTCCTTCCTTCCTTCCTTCTTCTCCTCTAGGTTGTTACCTATCCATAACTACTTATATCTGGGAGCCTGAAGCATCCTTTTCTGTGGAGCAATTTGGTGTTGCCAACTGCATCAACCTGGACTGGGGCTCAGATTCCCTCACCTACCAAGTCCTGGTTTGGCAGTGAGCGGATGGGTCACCTATATATAATACTGGGAAGCAGGGTTCAGCACTAAGCGGGCAGGTTCCATTCCAATATGCCACATTACTTATGTTAAAGAGAGGTCCTTCCAAGTGCTCAAGTATGGCAGTTATCTGTGAAGGGGAAAGAAACCAAGAAATGCCCGCCTGGGCATACCTGAATGTATCGTACATGCCACCTGGTGGCACATGAGGATGCTCTGCTGCTCAAGCTTCAGCACAGTGAGGAAAGGTCCCCCTTTTCGCTATGAGATTCACTCTTGGCAATCACAGGCAAAGAGCGGGCAAGTTAATGTTGACTCTAGAAACAAGCCCAGTTGTGTCAACTCAGCTGAAGTGGTGACTTTCTTTGTTGACCAGGCTGTGTGTTAACAGCTGCTAGAATGTATAAGTGAACCCATTCTAATCACCCTGCTCTTTTGGCTTGATTTCTTCAGTGAGGCCACAATTCCATGTTGGCAACATCCAAGCACTTTCTTCCCGAGAGAGCCGGGTCACGCCAGGGGCGCTGACCTCCTCCTGAGCATTGCCCCTAGCCCAGGTGACACTGCAGCCCCCCCCCGTTAAAGGAACACGGCTGTCTTCAAGAGACTCCAGCATACAGAGTAGTTGTGACTCTCTCCCTTGTAGTTTTAATTAATGTGAGTACCCAGAAGTCCTGATCACCCTAACCATTGGATTGGAATTGGATGTACCCAGCCCTCAGCAGACAAAAATGCTGTTTCTTACGGGCTGTGTGGCTTGTGGGCTTCCAGGAGAGGCCATCAGCTCCCTCTTCAGAGGTCAGAACAGAATCAACCATCAGCTTAGATTCTTCTGTCAATAATATGGGTTTCCGAGGGACATGTTGGAAAGTCTTCCAGCCATCTCCCCAAGGGAAGGGGTAGCTGTTTTCCTCTCATAGAATGTTATTGTATTGACCCTGTCATAGAACAGAATGGGGCAAGGGACGCATCTCTGATAGAAGCAAGGCCTGAGGACAGTTTGATTTCTAGATTCCATGGTGACCCCAGTAGCAGCAGAGGCTTCTGATTCTGGATGCCTTACCCTTTGGGACCCATTCTTGCCTTAAGAGGTTATTATTATCCTGCCCCTCTGAGGCAGAGATTCAGTGCTGCTCTGACATATATCCTTAATCATGCATGTGTTATATTAAAATGATGTAGAGAAAACTGGCTATTGAATGAAATAACACAGGCAAAGCCTTTTGTAAACCTGTAAACCGTTTGTAAATACATGTCAGCTATTAGGAAAGGTTTCTTCTCCATACAAATAGCTCCGGGCTAGGACAGCTCCTGGCTTCTGGGCACAATGTTGGCACCTAATTAAGGGTAACTGACTTCTTTCAGAGGTGATTTCAGCAACACTCATCATATGACCACAAGGCTGCTGGTACTTGTCATTAGAGAAGATGGACTAGAAAGGGATTTTCAGGCAGTCTCTAACTTACCAATAGGATGTATTCACAAAGTTCACCTGAAACTTGCATTTTCCCAAGGAAACAAATCGATAAATGGTGATTGACTCCCTCAGCCATCCCACAGAAATCTATTAAGCCCAGGGGTTCATGACCTTTGGTGTGTCCTAGACCCTTTTAGCAGACTGGTGAAACCTATGGACCCCTAATATGTTGTCTAAACTCTAGCAGTGACAGCACCATTCTGTGGGTTCTAGGTCCTGGGGCAGAGGATGTGTGACTTTTTTCTAACTAGAGGTTCTTAAAGACCTGTAGGAGTGAGGGAGGCCTGTGAACTTGTTTAAAAACAAAACAAAACAAAAAAAAACCCCAACACATTTTGATAACTGTATTTCAATACAATTGGGTTTTCTTTTTAATCCTATGTATTTCACTTGATACATCTTAAAATATTATTCTGAGAAGAGGTGCCTAGACTAACTGCCCAAGGGGGTCTAGGATACATGAAAAGTTTAAGAATTTCTGTTCTTAAGAATTTCAGTTTTAGAAACAGAATCAGCGGTAAAGTAAGTTGAGCTTGTCTGTGACATCCTCTTAGTTCCTGGTGCCCTTTTCTCCAGGTCCCGCAGGCCAGTCTCTCACTGTACTCGTTACCTTACTCTTCCCTTTCCTCTGTAATCACACACATACATACACATACACAAACACACACACACACACACACACACACACAAACACACACACCCCCTTGGCTTACCAAAATACTATGAAAACATTATCTTCCTCTCCTCTCTATTGGAAGGCTCCGTTCCTCCATGCCATAAATGCTTGGTAGGCATTAGGGAGAAAGAAAGCTGATTTAATTCACTCTACACATGCAGCATGATTTTAACCCTTTAAAAAAGGAGGGTGCTTAACTTAATCTATGCTAATTCTCATTAAGGAGAATTTCTCTCACAGATATCCTTCCAAAAACACAGTTTCCATTTTTTTTTTAAAGCGAAGGGAAAACAACATACCCAGACTCTTTTATTTTTTTGAGTTAGTTATTTCGTGAATGCCGCCATGTCCTAGGCCCGGAGTCTCATGGTTTGGAAGGAGACAAGCAGCTCGCGCTTCTCTGAACTTCATCTGGCTTATGGCCCGGATTCTGTGGGGGGTTGTCAGCACTCTGAAGACGAATACAGAACTGTTGGGCTATTTTCCTGCTCAAGGCTGGCAGTAGAAAACCTGAAGATGTCCCATGGGGGCTTCCTGGTCGCCTTGACATTTGTGCAGATGAATTAGATTCTCTTCTGTTGCCGTTCCAGAGCAGGTTTTATAGTTGAAGAGTTAGTAAGATGGATTATGCATCGTTTGGTTCTTCATTTCTTTTTAACTCACATTTTTCTTCCTTTTTGAATCAGTTTTCAGGGTCAACTGTGGATGGGACCAAACGAGGAATGGGGGTGGACATCTCCCTCCTGAGCTGTCAGTACTTTTTAGCTCAGATTCTCGTCTCCATCATCATGGGACCATTGACCTCAGTGGTGGGCAGTGCCAATGGGGTAATGTACTTCTCCAGCCTTGTGTCTTTTGTGGGCTGCTTGTACTCCTCCCTTTTTGTTATTTATGAAATTCCTCCCAGTGAGGAGTTAGAAGAGGAACACCAGCCACTTCTGCTGAACATCTAGTGCCCCGAGGACCTCTGTTTTGGTACTAACTTGTAACACGGGTATTTTGAAAAGGGGCTAGTTAAGAGCTGACCAATGGAATGACTGGATTATCTTGACCAGCCTCCTCAACCGGTGTACAAGTGGAAAGATTTCCTACTGGAATGTAAATATGTGACAAGACAATAAATAATAGCAAAGAAAAAAAAACCCACCAAAAAACTAAGTCTGCTCTTTGTAATGGTGAGGGGTCATCCCAGCGGGGTGAATAGGGGAACTAATAATGCCTCTATTCATCCTGAGGTGGAAGAAGCATCCATTGCAAGGAAGAATGCTGACTGTGTGTTTCTCCTGTGACAGAAGAGAAGTCATGGATCCCAGCATTCACCATTCAATATAAAGCTAATTCCTGCAAGATATTCTGGGAGGCATGGGGCCTGCTTTCATTTTAGATAACAAAGGGGAGCTCAGCTAATTTCCCTTGAGATATATATTTCCTGGTCAGAAAGCCTTGTTTTATCCCTAAGATTCTTACATAAATGTACAGTAGTATATTTATCACTTAACTAGAGGAAGTCAGAGATCACAGAACCCAGTTCCTCCATTTTATGAAAGAGGAGACTGAGGGGCAATGAAAGGGAGGTAACTTGACTGAGGCTAGAGGTACAACCAGACCCTTGAGTCCGGTGTGTTCACTTCATAATGTTGCCTTTGCTTTGTAATGTGTTGTTTTTGTGAATCACCAAAGGAATCCACAATTAGAGGTAAGGAGAGTGATCATGTATTGCATTTCCTAGTCAAGCAACATGATGCAAATCTCAGAATCTCCCAAACAGGTAGAGAGGGTCAGAGGAGTCTGGGAAGAGCAGTAGAAGGTCGTTTTGGTGTCGGAGCTGCATTTTAGCTCAGAGGCAATGGTTCAGCAAATCTCGGTAAAGAAAATCACCCAATCTTGGAGGTGAGAATAGGTGTTGGTTTAATAGGAAAGGGTATCGTCTCTGAGATTATGATCAAACCATCCAGAAGATATTATTAAAGTTGGCATTAAGAGATAAGGGGTTTCTCCTCGGCATCCACATATTTTTAAATATCTTTAAGCTTTTTGGCCAAGTTTGGAATTTCATAATTCTGACATCCCAACTACATTGCCAAGGATAAATCTAAGCAAAAGCTGAACCACTGTGATGGTGGTGACAGCAAGGGCTGAAGCAATATTGGGGCTAATAAATTCTATCCCTCCAAAGTATCCTTCAAATATCAATCGTCATGGATCTGGTTATATGACAGATTAAAGCGTGTGCCCTGTCTTGGACTAATGTAGGAGAGTCTCTCTCCCTAGAGCACAGCTGCTAGCCCTGTCTCCCTATGCCTCATCAACTGATGAGAAAATAGCACGGGGTAGGTCCTTGTTGACTGACAGTTAACAAATAGAATCCAAGAATCTCCCTTTGGAGAAACAGTTGGTTCATCTATTCAGGGTGGAATTGGCCAAAGGTTACTAGGCTGGTTTGGGGAAACTTCTCAAGATATTTGTGGGCCCGCGTCTAGTTGCTACTCTGATTACATTAGGGTTATATTATCTCCCACTAGTTTCCAGCCAAATTTTTTTCCAAATATGATGTTGGGTTTAAAGTTAGAGGACCTGGGTTCAAATCCCAATTTTGCCACTTACTACCTGTGTGATTTTGGGCAGATCTTTGTAATCTATAAAACGAAGGCTTTTGAGATCTCCGTCTTACCCTGAGTACACAGTACTCACTGACACCCAACCCCTAGTTTTCTAATTCTGACTCTACACGGTAGATATCCCAATAACATTCACTGAATAAATGAATGAGAGGCAGCCTGTTACAGTGGATAGAGGAGAGCGCCATCTTGGTTCCTGTTCTGCCTCAGACATTTCCTGGCTGTGAGACCCCCAGCAAGTCATTTCTCGATGTCCCAAGCAAGTCTCTCAATTGCAAAATTAGTGTCAATTAGCACTAGCATCAGGAGTTTCCTTGTTAGGAGCTCCCTTCACCAATGAAATAACTGGTCTGGCTAAGGAAAAAAAAATATAATGATGATGTTATGAGCCTGTAGTGTAACCCCACCCACGACATGGTAAAAGACAAAAGCTTTATCCTCTTCAGGTGTGGTGAAGTCCCTCTCCTTTCTTCTTCCTCATCCTGTATCACTCACATACCACTGTTTCACATGAAGAGGTGACCTTACTCCTTACCAAGGCTAACCCCTCTCTACCTGCACAAATGACACCATTCCATTGCATCTCCTCTAACAGACTGCCTCCTCTGTCATCCCCACTCTCTCACATCTTCAATTGCTGTCAACTGGCCCCTTCTTTCCTTCCTGCCTGCAAATATACTCATGTCTTCTTCCCCATCCTGAAAAAAACTTTAACTTGATCCTTCCATACCGTTAATTATCGTCCTATTTTTCTTCTGCCCTTTGTAGCTACACTCCTCAAAAAGGCTGTCTACAACAGGTGCCTCCACTTTCTCTTCTCAACCCCTTGCAATCCAGCTTCCAACCTTATCATTCTACTGAAATTGTTCTCTCCAAAGATACTGATCTCTTAGGTGCCAAATCCAATGGCCTTTTCTCAATCCTCATTGTCAGGAGTCTGACCTCTCTGCACCCTTTGACACTGATCTCTGTCCTCCTCGATACTCTCTTCTCTCTAGGTTTTCAGGTCACCACTCTCTCCCATTTGCTCCTACTCTGTGTCTTGCTGGAGCCTCTTCCAGAGCGTACCCACTACACGTGGCTCTGTCTGGGGCTCTCTTCTGTTCTTCCTCTATCCTACTTTTACTTAGTGACCTCATTATGAGCTCCCACGGGTTTAATTACCAGCTCTATGCTTCTCAAGTCAGCCCATCCTACACCAACTTCTCTGCTGACCTCTAATCTCACATCTTAAACTCAACATGTTCAAAACTGGACTCACTATCTTTCCCCTCAAGCCCTCCCCCCCAGTCCTAATTTCCTTATTACCACAGAGGGCAAACACCATCCTCCCAGTCCCTCAGGTTCACAATGTAGGTGTCATCCTTGGCTCCTCCTAGCTCTTGCCCCCCCCCCCCATAATCTGGTGCCAAGGCCTATTGATTCCATTTTGGTAACACTTCCTGAAGGCAGACCCTTCTCTCCTCTGACCCTGCCACCACTCTGCAACAGGCCTTCATCACCTCACACCTGGACTAGCTGCTGGGGGGGTCTGCCTGCCTCAAATCTCTCCCCACTCCAATCCATCTTCCATTCAGGCAAAAAAGCGATTTTCCTAAAGTATAGGTGTGATCAGGTCACCATTCCTCCTGCTAAATAAACTGTAAATGGCTCCCTATGACCTCCAGGATTGAATACAAAATCCTCCGTTTGGAGTTCAAAGCCCTACATAACCTAGTCCCCACCTTTCCACTCTTTGTTTTTTTACATTTAGCCCCCACCCCTACTCTTCTATCTGATGACAATGGGCTTCCTGGCTATTCCATACACCAAATACTACAACTCTGCCATCCTCCATGCCTAGAACTTTCTCTTTCCTCATCTTTGCCTTCTGGATTCCCTACTTCCTTCAAGTCTCAACTAAGATCTCATTTTCTACAGGAAGTCTTCTCCAAACCCCCTTAATTCTAGTACTTGACAAACTGATGTGGTCTGTTATTGTCTGAATACATCAGTGTTCAAGCAGCGTGTTGGCAGAAAGAAAGCAGCAGTAACCTGAGTGGGCTTAAGTGCTGGTATTTGTGAGAAAAGTGCCAAGACCTAGGATGTGAAACTCCGTCTTTAGTGACAGTATGTGATAAGAGGCTTTCTTAAAGGCCCTAGCACTCGAGGGGAATTTACATCAACACATACATAAGCCTAGAGTACTAGGTCCAGATCCCAGCTGCAACACTAGCCTGGTGATCTTGGGCAGGTCACAATCTGTGTCTCAAGCCACTCCTAGAAGGCATCTAGCCCAACCTCTACATTTTACAGACGGGCAAACTAAGGCCTAGGGAGAATAAGTGATTTGCTCAAGACTTCACAGATGTATTGCTGGCACAATGTTCCTTTGGGTACATCCACACTCAAGAGGTCCTTTGGACTATGGCACCCCTAAGTCTGAGGAACTTGGCTTTTCTGCATAAAAAGGTGGGGAAGGGGCATGGACTGTATTTAGCGCAAAGCAAGCTTGTGCAGAAAGAAATGCTTTAATCCTGAAACAGCAATTTGGGGGGCTAGAAGTCATAGAAAAAAACACACAGAAATGAAGTTAGGAAGAAAAGGGTACCTTTTCAACATACAAATTACAAGAGTAGACACAGGTAGGTTGTACTATATTGCTTTTGTATACAAACACTGTAAAAACAGAACAGTTTGTTGAAAGGACTTACAATTGACTAGTGCAAAGTGTCTTTTCTGACAAACAAAATTTACATATCCAGATTAGGAAAACCAAGTCGGTTACTTTAGCTCTCTTGGTTAGAACACAGAAACAGTTTTGTCTCATCAAATGATGGTATTTTGATTAAAAAAAAAAGATATTCTATGGTGACTAACAAGTTCATCAGGTTTGGGCATTCGGTGTGCCCACTGAGGACTGAAGGGGGACATCTGGCTTGGTGGTAGGTGCAGGGATGGTAAATGCCTTGGCAAGAGGAATTAGTCTGGTTCTGTTGGGGTAGAGGAGGAGGGCAGAATTAGGCTCAACATAAAGAAAACCATCCTAACAATTACTCCTATGCAAAATTAACACAGACTGTCTCCGGAGTTAGTACAACGGCTAAGCTGGGCATGGTGGTACACACCTGTCACCCGAGCTACCAGGGAGGCGGAGGCTGGCGTACCTCCTGACCTGGGGAATCCCAAGAAGCCATGGACTGAGCCATCTGGGCGCCTGTCTGGCATCAATATGGTGAGTCCCTGCAAGTGGGGACCACCTGGTTGCCTAAAGAGGGATGAAGCAATCCAGGCTGGAAAGTGAGCGGACACACAGCCCCTTGCCCATCGGCAGTGTGATGGACCTGTCAGCAGCCACGGCACTTCCAGCCTCAGTAAGACAGAGAGAGAACCAGCCTTTAAAACAGCAGCAAATGGCTCTACGCCCCCTGTAGGTAGGCATGGCACTTGTTGCCTCCTCTAGGGCAGATGTGTGCCGCTGCTGCCCTCCTGTGGTGGTTTTCACACGTTTAATGGATGACCGACCGTTTCTACTTGGGGAAGATCCCCTTCTTTCTCAGCTACGGGCCCACACCAAAGCTAAGTGGGAGCCAGGGGGTGGTCTGAAAGAGAGGCGGAGGAGAAGTGGGAAGAGGGAGAGTGAGGAGGGGAAGAGAAGAAACAGAGTGGGTGGGTGGGGGTGTTACAGATGGAACCAGGAACTGCTTCTAACCCTACACTACAGTAGCTGTTTTCTTCTTCTATTTGAGAAAAAAAGGGGAAGGCAGAAGTCAAGCATATCTACCTGCCAGGACAGCTCTGCTCTTCACTTTGTATGCCCCCAATGTACATCTCTCCCTAGCTTGGGGGTCCTGGGAAAAACTCCCTTCATCAGGGGCTCTGCATCTTTTGCTGGGTCGTGGACCTCTTTGGCAGCATGGGGAGTTCCATGGACTCCTCGGAACAATGTTTTTAAGTGCATGAAATAAAATACAGAGTGTTGCAAGCGAAGCACTTATATTGAAAGTGATTCAAAGCTTTTTCGAGTTCATAAAGTTCTCTAGAAGTAAGCACAAACATCTATAATCAAATGCATATAAACGCAGTCACCAGGCTAATATGTTAGACACACGGAGAGCCGACCCTCCTTTTGCTGGAAGTACCAGGGACGAACCCCAAAGCTCTCCCTTCCCCTGGAGCCTTGGCTCCTCTGGTGCCAGCTGTCCCTTCCCTTGCCTCTTAAAGGAGACGGCCCCTTTCCCATGCCTAGCAGATGGAGGAGGCAGGCAGGGCAAAAGCAAGGAGCAGGGCGATGAAAATCAGGCTCTGGCTCTGAAAGAAGCGTCTTGTTTGTCATCTCAGGGCCTCCCCAACCTTTACACCCCCAAGTAAAGAGACACGTTCCACTGGCCAAGGCCGGGATTCTGTAGTGTAGCTTGGTTTTATTTGTCCACAAATATTTCAAAAAAATTACAAAATACTCAAATGGAGAGAACACAGAAGTCACGATTTCTGGGTTTCTACTCTGTTTACACTGTGTTATCTCATGGCAAACTACTCATATGTACATTAAGCTTCCAGATATATATAAATGTAGCAAATCAGAGTGGACACTGCATGTGAGGCCGCAAAACAAGAAGCTCGACCTTGACAACATTGAACAAGATACGTTTGAAACACAAAACAAAAAAACAAACCTGAAACTTCAACTGAAAAGAGGGTGAATGAATCCCAAAGGAAACCATGTGTCTGGGTCACTGGAAAAGGGCATCCAACACACCAACTACAGTCAAGAAACTGTAGTTAATCAGCTAATTTATTCGAATAAATCTCAGTGTTTCACCTTGGGATGCTGGTGGCACGGAGACTAACACACAATTAATAAAATGCTGAACTGATAAAGGAAACTCATGACATCTTAAAAAAAAATTAAAAATCACTGAACTCTCTTTTCTTTGGGAGAATGGGAAATAACAGGATGGGGGGGGAGGGGGAGAAAGCAGAATTAGTTTAACAGTCACCATCTTACATCCATCCCAAAGGAAAAAAAGACACAAGAAGTGAGGGATGGAAGAGGTGGCAGTCCAGTGTTCTTAATTCTCCCTTCATTTTGAGGTGGACTTGCTCCATTAAAAATTTAGGAGAAAATGCGTGCGCAGAAGGTCAAGATATTCTGATGGCATCATCAGATTAGCCCCCGAAGGCCCTGTCCCTGACTGGTCACTTTTGAATGTGAATGAGTTAGCCAAGGAACATCTACCACTAAGCAGCTGAGGGTTAAGGCAGGCATGGAATGAGAGAAAAGAAAAGCAGAAAACTCTTTCAACAGAAACAACCCACGAAGCCCAACTGAAATCCAGGCTATAAACCCATGGGTATAAAGAAGGTGGAATCGCCCCTGATGCAGGTTTTAATCCAGAACTGAATGGACAGAGTAACTCTGCCCAAGAGTGTCGCTGGTTTCTGCGTCAGAACATTGGCTTTTCTTCCTGCCGGTCATAGTGGCCTGAGCACTGACATGCCGTATGTTTCTTAAAAGCCTGAACGATTCGCTACAAGTTCATCCACCATGGTCCAAGAGAGTCTTATGACACGACCACCACACAGAACAGTTTAAATGGCAGAGATATAGCCCTCAAGAGTTTGAGAGAAAAAGAACGGAACAAGTTTTGCACCAGTGGAAAACAGGGTCAGCAGATGCAGACATCCCCTGGACCTCCCCAACCCTTGGCTTCAGTGAAAGTGCATTATATGAGCAAGACGATGCAAATGGAGGGAGGTGATCCTATAGAGCTTTGCTTCAAAAAGCCGTGCCACCTGACCTCTTTATTGCCCAGAGATAAAAGATGAGCCGCAAAGGCTCTCCGAGTCTGACCTGGGTTATCCCACAAGGGTCAGCTGCTCCTGAGTCAAGAATGCAACGCTGCCCACCTTCGTGCATCTTATTAAACCCACGGTCCTGACTCACTCAGATACAGTCTGCACCTATGGCAATAAGGCTGTTTCCAAGGAATGTGGGAGGGGCAATTTAGGGCTATCCTTTTAAAATTCCAATGTGTTGGCATCTTAATTGTATAATCTACCTTAAAAAAAGAACTCAAACACAGCCTATCTTTCAAATCCTAAGTTGTTTGAGTTTTATATATATATACGTGTACACACACACACACACACACACACACACACACACACACACGTTTTTGGTAGCAAATCCCACACTGTTTATGAAACTTCAAAGGGAAGTCCTGGAAAATTAGTTCATTTAACATGTCAAATGTGTGTGCTAAGTTCTTGAGCGCGTGCAGCTACACATGCGTACACACACACACACACACACACACACACACACACACACACACATCCCTACCTTATCCCTCAGAGAAAGAGTATAAACAACCATTAACACCAAGGTGTTAATTAAAGTGGATTTAATTCCTGAATTCCTGTTGCAAAGGGAAGAGGTTCATTCAGCGGATGTCTGCACCACTGGCCAAGCATACTCCCAAAACCAAACCAAACTGAAATGACAATCAAGGAAAAACATGGAGAAACAGCTTGTGACGTTAATCCCTGCAAACCCTGTGATGCTCACTGCTGCCAGCAAATCAAATGCCAAGCTTTTGCCCATTTTAAATTAGTAACACCCATCTTTCCCCTTTAATTAAAGGGATAATTTTATATATATATATATATTTTATTAAAAAATCAACTCTTGTCAATAGCTGGTAGGAATTCACGATTAGTGACGTGGCTGGAAAAAAATATATCAGAATAGTAGTTTGTGGAAGAAAAAAATGGTTGTTTCTGTTTTAAAATTATTATATTTACAGACTTAAAAAGCCATGCTGCAGAACTGAGCTCTCTGTCAAATTATGAAGATTTCCTACAATGTATTAAAATAAAAGCAGATTTTTATTATAGTTCTTGGGCTCCAAACTCATATGCCACCACCTATCTGTGATCCTGGCGTCTTTTTTTTGCTTATGTTTAAAGATATGTCTAACGGTCTCTGCACACACAGTGATGGGTGTGAGCTGGATTCTAGCACCTACTGTGAAATCGAGGAAGGAAAAGAAAACATGAAACCAAACGCCAAGATTGCAGGCAAGATTTCTGAACGTTCCGCCTAGTCCAGGACTCACTCAGCTCCTGAGGAGGCTGTCATGCAGGGAGACCTGAATCAGCCCGGAGGCGTCCTCTCTACCAATGAACACTAGTACGCTGGGAAGTCTTCAGTTGTGGTTTTTTTTTAAATAGATGAAGAAATCTTCAGAAGAAATTCTCTTTGCTTTTGCAGCTCCTGTCGTATGTAAAAAATCCCATCTCTTCCCCCATAACCTGGGGTTTCTGCTGTTACAAATAAATAACTTCTTATAACTGCTTGTCACCTTCTTTCTTCAGTCGACTAAAAGAGAGAGAGAGGAACATCTTAGCCTTTGGCTCTGGTGACCTTACAAGAGACTGGCCCTGGCCCAGAGGTCAGAGAGTCAAGATTCTACAAGCACACTTCTCCAGCACAGAAAACCCCAGGCTTTGTGTCTTCTACCTTCCTGAACCCCTTGAGGCACTTGGGAGTGCCCACTGGCACAAGAATCCTCACCTTGGTACAATGGCATTGGGAGCTCCATAAGGCCATGCAGACACAAAGGCCTCCTAGTTAACTGCCAATCAGGTCAACAGAAAGCATTTCCAATGTTAATTCTACATAATCCCCTTTTAATTAAGATAACAGGAACTTAAGTTCTACTGCTTTTCCTTTAAAGCTTTGTATAAAGTTTGGGGTGGCTCAGGAAAGGAGCTGGCAGCAGAATTCAGACCGGCTGACTCCAGGAGGCGAGGCTATGGGCAGCACCACCTTTAGAAAGACAGGAGGTCCTCACCTGTAATAATCTTCCTGACTCGGTAAGTGCCCACCGTGCATGTGGGGGTGGCCGTGCAGCCACTGCTGCTCCATGGCCAGTCTCTGCAGCTCGGCGGACTGAGCGTGCATGGCCTGCAGCTGGTGGGCGGCTGACATCGGAGGTGGGATGGCACCAGGCAGGTCACGTGGATACGGGGTACCTGCCACAGAAGGACAGTCAGTTACTTTCATCTGCCACATCTCTGCACCAGCACAGTGCACAGCTCATAGTTAAATGCTTGCTGATTGTTCCATGTGAAGGGGTGAAATGGTCAATGGAAATTAAACCACTGTTGCTTTAACAGTTTGGTTTTTTTTAAAGGCAAAACCTGTCCTTGCTTTCAAGGAGCTCACAATCTAAAAGGGGAAACAAAATAAAAACAACTATGTACAAAGCAAGATATACACATGATAAATAGGAGAGAATTAAAGAGGGAAGGCACTAGCATTAAGGGGGGACAGGCAAAGACTCAGCATGGAAGGTGGGATTTGAGCAGAGAGAAGACAGGAGATGGAAAAGAAGAGAGGGAGAATTCCAGGCACAGTGGACAGGCGGTGTCTCTGAGTCACAGAAGACACGGAAGGGAATGAGGTGTAAAAGATTGGCAAGATAGGAAGGGCTTTAAAGTCCAGAAAAGGACTTAATATTTCATCCCGTAGGCAAGAGGGACCCACTCGAATTGAACGAACGGGGCATGATGTGATCAGAGCCATGCTTGGGGCTCATCTGTTTGACAGCTGAGTGGAGGAGGGAGGCCAATCAGAAGGGAGGTGGTGACAGTCTAGAGCAGAAGGGGGCATCAGGAAGCAGAATGACAGAATCTGACAACTCACTGGCTACAGTGAGGTGAGACACAGAGAGGAGGCAACGCTGAAACTGAGGTTCCAAGTCTGGGTGACTGGGGAGATTGGCAGTGCCCTCCCAGTAACAGAGAAGAAAGGAAGATTTGAAGGGAAAGATTTTGGAGCTCAGTTTTAGGGGTGCTGAGTTCAAGATGGAGACTAGATGTCAGAGGGCTTAGGGATGGACAAAGACATGTGAGAACCATTTGTGTAGAGATGACTGATTCCATGGGAGCCAAGATCAATGAATGGAGGAGCAAGCCTGTAAGAGCAGAGTACAGCATTTTTGAGCTGGTTCAGAGTAGGTGAGACTACCTTCCTCAGACCTGCGCAAGATTGTTGGCACCCCACCTCCCGATGTTGTAGAGTGCTTCCCTCACTCTGACAGAGCCACCGGGGCCCTTATAAGACAGGGAAGCTGCTCATGATATACAGGATCAGCATGACTACTCCCATGTCCTTTCTGAACATGAATATAACATCAGAGTCAAGGTCAGCCATGAGGGTAGCACTGGAGCTCAAGTCCTGTGATTCCACTTCCAGGCGCCATCACAGTGCGCCCTGTCTATCAGCAGGTTGAAGACAACCTTTGAGAGAGCCTTCTGCAGACATGTACAGATGAGAGTTCTCACCGAAAACTGGATGTCGAAGCATCTCGTGCTCATGAGGTGGCTGCCCGAGCAGAGGGTTGGGGAGGGTGCCAGGGGGATAAGGGAACCGAGCCAGATGAGGGCCAGCTGCTAGGGGGTCTACCAGTGGGTGCACAGGACCTGCTGAACCTGGAAAATGGAGAAAAACCAGAAGGAAATATGTCTTATTAGCACCGAAACTTCATCATCATCACTGGGTCTTGTTATTTTTATGACACATAATAATAAGCAGCATTTGCACAGACTGGCCTTTTGTTACAGCTCTCAATGGTCAGCCCCCTCTAAAACCATTCCTCTGGCACTCCCATCAGAAGCAACGTCTGCTTGTCCAACAGTCTTAGCTGTTAATGCAACCACCTCTAACTTTTAAGTTCATTCCGTAAGGAGACATATGTAAGGAGAGAGGAATATCAGAGTTGCATGAAGACAAAGGGGAGAGAAAATCCCTTCAGTAGGAGCTCCTTCTGGGTTCCCGGCCCACCACAAGGGGGATGGCTTGTCTGAGCTGTGCTTGGCAGGTGCCTGTCTGTGCGGGGAGGGGTCAAGCCTGTAAGAAGAAGCCTCCAGCTCAAATGCCTGGATCACCACAGTGCCCCAGAGCCCAGCTCCAGCTGCTTCCCAAGCCCTCCTCAGGTGACTAAGCCTAGGCCATCCTTTCTGTCAGTCCATACAGCTTTTGTGTGGCATGCCACCAGAAAGTCTGTTGTCTCTCATGTTTGAATCTTATCTTGGCTGCAACCCAAGGCAACTGGGCAGACTTCTTCTTCATGGAGTAGGGCTCAGGTGACCCTTAGGGGATATGACACGACCAGAATGTCTAGCAAGCTGGTGGTGACCTTGGGAAAAACTTCGGGCATCTATCCCACTTCCCTGGCCTGTATAGATCCTGCTGCCTCTCCTCCCTGGGAAAACTGGAATGCAGCTTTATGTGCTCATCTCTGTCTCTCTCGCCAGCTCAGCCTGGGGAAGCCACAAACCACAAAGATGAGCTATGCAAACACTGACCTGCTGGAGCCACAAACACGATGTCCTCATGAGCCAGACCCTGACCCGGACACAGCTTAGCCCCACTGTGCTCCCTGGAGCTGTTTCTGGAAAGGCTTTGGTCAGCTCCTTTGGTCTCTGCTGGTCGGGCATAGAGGCCAGGTGTTGCGGGCTCTCCCTTTCCCCTTCTCTTCTCTCTGTCTCTCTCTCTCCCTTAACACTGTACTCCCCTCTCTTTGTCTACCCTGCCATAGTTCTCTTGCAATCCTTTTCCCCTATGTACTGCCCTAAGCCAAGCACCAACCCCCTTTCACACATTTCCATGGTACTTTTGGCTGAAAAGGTTTCCCAGAATTCAGTCTGTTGTCTCCAAGTCCCACCTGGGTCTCTGACTAATGACTCCTCTACTTTGCAACATCTATCGACTCTTTCTGGTCTACAAAAGGTGCTTTTCCTATTCTGACCTTATAAGTCAGGGTTAGCCAACATAGGAATTTAGCCCACAGGCTAAGTTTGGTCTTCTCTTCCATTGTGATCAACAAGCTAATCAACTGGTTAACTCCTTCCAAGCTTTGCCCGGCATTTAGGATAGACAGACCATTCTGTTTTACTCCCAGCTCCACAAAGATCTATACCCCAAAGACACCGAGAAGGGGACCGACGCCAACCCCGGCTCTCTGTCTGAGAGTGCGCTCTCCAATCTCTCCTGTCTTTATCTTGTTTGCACGCAGCTGTTTTCACGTTGGCTAAAAAGCAGGACCCGTAGCTGGTCTGCCTCCTTCGCACTCTCCAGGGCCTAGCACACACTTCATAAATACAGACACAAGGCCACACTTTCACTCACAATGTTCCCAGTGCTTTACACAAGGGAGAGGCAGGCCATTCGTGATGCATTTGCTTAAGGTGCAAAGAGGGCAGGGACTGGCCTAAACTTCCCATTTTCCCCTCACTGAAGGTTAGCGATCTGCACTTATGTCACGTCAGGGTATGAGGCAGGGTCAGAAGTAGATGACACCACTATACTATTAACTTGGCAGCTGAAGGAACACTTATACCCGTGATACCACGCAAGTGTCATCGGCCGTACCTGCGAATGGTCACCTGATGACAGCTAGAGGGCCCTGGCAGACCTGCCAAGTTTAGTCTTTCTCCCACTGGTGGCTGTGGGGCTGAAATCCTGTCATACCAGGACGAGGCACAAGTCTCCCCCACCCCCACCCCGACCCCAGGAAACACTGGGATTTCCGTGCTGGAGGCGCAGGGGGTCTGGTCTGACCGCCACACTTCATCTCATTCGGGCTGCGGGTCAGTTTGTCATCTCAGAGTGACCACGGATCAAGTCAAAGGGACCGGGCCATTCAAAAGCAAAGACCCAGAAACATCCCAAAATTAAGAGGTGTACATACGACTGGAGCTCTTGGCACTCCTGCTGCTGAACTGGGGGGGAGTGAGGTCTTCACATAAATCCTCACCAAATAAGAAGTTAGTCCCTGCACGTTCTGCAGCTTGCATGGCTTTTGTTCATCAGCACACACCCTCTAACACTTTCTGGGGCCTCTGTTTTTCTAGAACAGTTTCTCAAACTGAGGCCCTTGAATTTTACATACACATAACTGGCTTCCTTTGCAATGCTATGTATATTTTACTTCACACATTCACAAATCTTCTTCTGTGATGGAGTCTGGAGACATTGCCCAAGGGGTCCCCGCCGCACAAAAGGTAAACTCCTGCTCTAGAGTGTCTGAGGACACACGATCATGGCCAGGGAAGCTGGAAGGGACTGTCTAGTCCAGCTTCATTTCCTAGATGAGGAATTTCATGCTCCTCAAAGTGATCCGTCCAAGGCAGCAGCTGGGGCGGATGCCAGAGTGCATCGAGCGCCAGGCTGAGACTCAGGAAGACCTGAGATCAAACCAGACCTCAGACACTTCCTGGCTGTGTGACCTTGGGCAAGTCGCTCAACTTCTGTCTGCCTCGGTTTCTAGGCTCTGCCTTGCAGGGTCACTGGGAGGATCAAATGAGGCAATTATAAAACACTGAGCACTGTTCCTGGCACACGGCAAGCACTCTGGAAATGCTTATTCCTTTCCGCATGTCACACAGTGCCAGAGCCGAAATTGAGCCTCTCACTCAAGACTGCCTGGTTGCAGGGGGGGCAACAACAGCTTTTTCCTCAAGCTTTAACAAGGGGAGCCCCCTCTGCAGGCCTCTGCGCACAAGCCAAGCCAAGGGCCAAAGCCCTCCTGCCTCTCTTTGTGTCTGATGGCCCAAGGACTGGGGATGGGGGTTGGAGGAGGCCCTAAGGTGACCCCCTGAATGAGGGGCAATGGGATTTAGAAAACCTCACACACGCGCCTATCCCCACCGCTGGGGCTGAGGACACAGCCCTGGGGCTCCTTGTGGCTTCCTGCAGCAATCAAGGACATGCCCTTTTATAGAGTAAAGGTAAAAGCTGGAGGAGGCAATGAAGTGGTGACGAGGCCCCTGCTCAGCTCTCTGTGTGTCCTGCCTTGTCCCCCGGCCCCCCAGGTGCACAGGACCACCAGGCCCGGTGGTCACTCTCCTAGGCTAGACAGAGTCCTGTGAGGGGCTCTCAAGGAAGGATTTCAGAGCATGGAGCTGATTTCTCCTTTGGCACACTGGCTCCCTACGAGAGTCTGGCCACCCAAAGCCAACATCTAAGGCCTTGAAAGACCCTCTTCCAGCTTCTGAGCCTCTCAGAGGCCAACGCGCTTTCCCCACCCACTGGCTCTCCTTGCCCTATGAACCCTCAGAGGCTCACCTTGATGTAAAGGATCCTGCTGATGGAGATGAAGATGCGAGTGTATGTGTGAGTGTTGATGGTGATGGGGGGTCACGTTAAACATCTGGAGCCGTGCAAGGGGGTCGTTAGTCAGTGAGGCCATCCGCTCAGCATGGATTCTCTCAGCTGCCAGTCTATCAGGGTAGCTCATTTCAGGCCGCAGCTGGGGACCAGCCAGGGCGAGTCTCTCCCTCTCCAGGGGGTTCAGCCCCGGGTGGAAGGAAGCAAAAGGGTGAGGTCCTGCAGCAGGAGGTATTGTGAGGGCACCATGCCGGGCAAAATGCTCCATGGGGTTGGTGGCCGGGTGCAGGGCATCCAACTCCGGAGGCTTCACCTCAAACCCTGGCTTCATCCTCTCCCGGAGCTCGCGTTCCCGGATCTCCCGCTCCCGGATCTCTCGTTCTCGGAGCTCCCGTTCCCGGATTGTGGGATCCACATTGTAGAGGCCAGGCATGTGATAGGCCAGGAGGGGATCAGTGGGGTTGAGGGGTACAAAGAAAGGATGATTGCGGTTGGTAGGTGACATCACATGGGGCCGCGCATATTCACTAAGAGTCCGAAGAGCAGGCGTGTCGGGTCCGATGTACGGAGGGACGGCAGCGATGGTCGTTGGCGGCGGTTCGAAGGATGGCCGCATGTGGGCAGGTCCACTAAGCTGAGAGTCACTGAGTCGGCTTTCGTGGGAGGAGCTGGATGCCTTCTGCTACCAGGAAAAGGGAGGAGGAGGTTACCTGATAGGAAAAGCTTCGGCGGGAACGTGCACAAAACCAACCCTACCACAGAGAGCAGCAGGGCTCCTCACTCGGGAACACGCCCTGCCGCTCTATTTGGAGAGCCCCCAAAACTACCCTGTAAGTGCCAAGTCTGGGCCCGTCAGCTTCTAGTCCAGACAAGGAAAGTCACTGGGGGAAATAAGGAACGCTCCGAAGAGGGAAGTCAGGGCAAATCCTGTTCTGGGGACATGGGCACAGGAGGAAGCAGAGGAGAGTCTCTTGTGACAGTCACTCTGCCTCAGTCTACCATGCCACTAACAACATCAGCCATGATCTGGGGGCAAAATAGCCTGGAAGCTGATATGGCTGATGAAAATATATGCTTCTAGGTTCTCCTCAAATCACCGTAAAGACGCTAATCATCGGTGCCGTCCAGGGAGCGCTCTCATCCGAAGCTGGCAGCGACCCTGTGACAGGGGCATTGTTGCGGGTACCGTTATGCCCCCTTTATAACCAGTCAATGACGAGGCGAGGCCAGGCCTCCCTGATTCGCAGCCCAGAGCTCTCGCCACTGCACGGCCCCGGTCCCCAAGGCGGCCAGCCCGGGGCTGTGATCCTCCGCCCCGGGCCTTGTCCCAGCGCCCTCTCCCCTGACTGGCTGCCGGCCCTCAGGAGGACCGTGACTCACCGCGGCCCGCTCTGCTTCTCGCTCCCGCTCGCGCTCCCGCTCGCGCTCTCTTTCCTTCTCCTTCTCGCGCTCCCGCTCTTCTCGCGCCTTCTGCTCTGCCTCTCGCTTGGCCTTTTCAATCGCCTCCTCCCTCTTCTTGGCAAGTTTGGATCCCGACAGGGGCATGAAGTAAAGGTCAGTTCGTGCACACGAGTTGTAGCCCCTGTCCAAGTGTTTGTAGAACCTGGAAGGGACCAAAGACTCCTCAGGAAAGAGAACACACGTGTCTGTGAGAGAGGATTTCTGCAGGGCTCCGGGCAGGATCAGACCTCGCTGCCAAAGCCGGCCGGGGCCGGCTCTCCCCGGTACCCGCCCCACTCACCGCCCAGCCTGAGCTCAAGCCTGGCGGAGCTCAGGACGCCTGCCTGGTGAGAAGAGTCCAGGTGAAACGGATTTAAGCAAAACTTTTCCAGTGCTGACCCTGACCTGGTAAAGCAGGTCCAGACTTGCCAGCGAATGGTGGCCAACAGAACCCTCCCTTCCTTGCAGGTGCCCTTACCTCGCAGACTGGCTGGCGTGGCTTGGTGTATCCACTACGGTGGGCTCGGGGGAAGGGCTTCGGGGTGGGGGAGGGGGACTTTCAGGCTCCTCCGTTTCGTCGGGTGCCTCCTCCTTGATCTGGATGGGCGGGATGGCGCAGGAGGTCACAACAGGGACACTTCCACCAGAGGTCCCGGGCGTGGAACAGGATGGCTGGGATGGAGCACTTGGCCCAGACGGGGGGGTGGAGGTGGAAGGGCAGGATGGAGGAGTGATGGGAGGGGGCCCCCCGGGCACAAAGGGGTGCTGAGAAAACGGAGGCTGGGGGGGAACCTGGTGAAGGCCTGAAGGGGGATGGCTGGCTACCGGTGGGAGGCTCTGGCTCTGAGTCAGAACTGGGGGCTGGGCTGGAGATGACTGTAGCGGCTGACTCTGGGGCATCAGCTGTAAAGGAGGCGGGTGAGCTGAGGGGGGATGATGTGTGGACAGTGAACTCAGGGGCTTCAAAGCAGGAGGAGGTGGCAGGTTGGAGTTCATGGAGAACGGAGAAGGTCCTGAGAGATGAGGTGGGTGCTTGTGGGACTGGGGGGTGGGCAGCTGTGGGATAGGGGTCGTGGGAGGGGGTTTTATATGAGGCATTGCCATAGGGGCAGGAGGAAGCGGCTGAGGAGGCTGCAGGGATGGCTGGGAGGCCTGGACCTGTAAGGGGCCATGAGGATGGGCAGGAGCTGGTGTTGCGGGGAGTGGGACCTGAGCCTGAGAAGACTGAGGGGCAAGGGGGAAAGGCTGTGGTGGTCCCGGATGTGGCAAGAGAGGCTGTGCCTGTAGGCTGTGAGGTCCAGGGGGCACCTGGCCATGAAGCGGCGGCTGTGCGTGAGACTGGGAGGAGGCAGGAGCCTGTGGCTGGTTCTGCGCCACGCTCGAGGGCTGCAAAGGCGGCTGTGGGGAAGGGAGTTGGTGTGGATGCAGAGCCGGCGCCTGCTGGATGTGGGAGTGGGCTGCAGATGGACCAGGGGCCTGAGGCTGGCCGGGTGGCTGAGCTACGGATGGTGAAACCTGAGGCGGGGCCGATGGAGCACCGGCCGGTGTGGGAGCTGGGGCCGGGAGCTGGGCTGCCCCCGGAGGAGTGGAGGGGGCAGCCTGGGCAGGGCCGCCGGGAGCCTGCACCACTTGCTGCTGGGCAGAGGAGTCTGAGTCACTCTCGTTGTCCTGAGGGCTGGGGATGCTGGGGGAGGTACTGCGATTGTCTTGGTCAATGTCCTTGGGGTCACTGCTCCCTTCATCATTAACGCTGCGACTGTCCGAACTTTCTCCTTCTCCCTCGCCCTCCGATGGAGAGTTGGGCCGGCTGATCTCCTACAGGGCAGAGAGAAAAGGGAGACGTTCAGCTAGATGTAAGGGAGGTGGTGCCCTTTCCGATGACTGCTCCCCACACTACCATGAGCTACCCACGACCAGCACACCAAATTCTTGTCTCAGGGCAGACCTGGCTGCGTGTATCCCAGCTTGGCTCCCCCTTGGAGCACGTGCTCCTCAGCTGGTTCTCAGCTTGCTCAGCTGGGGTGGCATTCCAAAGGCCACCTGCCACTATCCCCCAAACTCATGCTCTACGACATATTTTTATCAGTTTGCAAAAATTTTACTACCAGAAATCCTTACTATTAACTTAAAAACGGACTCTTCATTCTCTTCCTCTACCCTTCCATCTGGTCTTTTCACTTCTAGCTCTCAGATCCCCAAACCCTGAGCTGCCAGGCTGAAGCTGGAGATAGAAGAGTCAGACCTGGGAGTCAAGTGACTGGTCACTCATATTCTCTGGGTTGGAAAACACTGTTCTAAGTAAAAGGAAGAGATGATGTGGGGGACCACCATGGAAGTCACTCCCAGCAATACAAGGGCCCAAACGCTCCCCAGGCCTCACCTGGGGGCTGTGGGTTTTGGACTTCTTTGCGCTGGTCCTTTCGGGCTCCTCAGTATCTGATGTTGCCTTTTCTCGCTGACGCTTGGTGCTCTTGAGAGGTGAAGATGCTTCTTCCTTTATCTTCTATTAACAAGAACCATGCAAGGGAGAGGAGACATTAGGGCTTGAGCATAACTTCTGTTCCATCATTTTAATTGAAATAGAAAGTAAACCCCAATAGATTCTCAGGGAAGGGGCTGTAATGAGGCACAGCTTGGCTCGATGGGAGGAGAAGGCTCTCCCCAATGCAATGGGTTGGCCATGGCCCCTTCCTTGGAAGTCTTCCAACCAAAGATTGAATATACCCACTTTGGGCATATATCTTGTTGAGGGGAATATTGTTCAAGCCCACAGACTCCATAGGCCCCTTCCTGTTCTGAGACCCTGTGACCCTTGTGGCAGAATTTCAGGTACGAGGACACCCTGAGATGGTCTACGCTGAGGTGGCAGAGGGAATGCTGAGTTTGGGGAACAGCTAGGAGCCCAGTTTAGTTGGAAATGAATGAAGGGGAATAATATGAAGGCGTCATCATCATCATCATCATCATCATCATCATCACAATAATATTAACATGAATGAGGAAAGCAGTAGGGCAGAGTGGCAACAGCACTGTGCTGAGTCAAAGACTGAGGTTCAAATCCCAGCTTTATCACTTGATAACTATGTCATCTTGGGCAAGTTAAATCTCTGGGCCCCAAATTTCTCATTTCCAAAATGAGGGTACTGTACTAGATGGCCTCCAATTCTCTTCTGGTTTTCAATCTTTGATCCTATGCTCCCCCAAAAGGATCCTTGACAGGGGCTCTTAAAGGCAAGGTTGGGGGGGGGTGTCTACTTAATCCCAGAGGCAATAGGAAACCACTGAAGATTTTTGAGAAGAGTAAGACTGGCATATTATTTGACAAAGTTAGGTTGGAGCATTATTTTGGTTATTTTGCTAAAAACATGAAAGAGAATGAACCAATGAGGCCTAGACTTACACCTACAACAGAAATTACTGAGAGGGATGGGGCACAAGCATCTGACCACAGACATCTTCCATCTACCCAACGACCAGTAGGGAAGCAAAACAGGGGGCATGCAGATCGCTGGTGGGGATTGCGCCTCCATTGGCACTCACCTTTGTGGATTTCTTCACAGAGTCTGCTTTACTGTCATTGCTCGAGGTGCTGGCTGCACTAGGAGAGTTACGGCCACTAGACCGGATGTCTTCATTGATGGGCGAGGCTCTACCATCAGGGCTAGCAGGTTGCTTTTTACGGCCACTACGTAGTGTAGACATCTAGCATTCCCCAAAACAAACCCAAAGACAGTATTAAGGTTAGAATGACCTTCCAGTCCCTACTAGACTCTACTCTATTTGACTGAAGTGACCATGAAACTCTCAGAAAGCAGTCAATACAGAGAGTGTTTGTTAACCGAGCAAATTACTATCTCTTTCTTACTAATTAATCCCTATCACCTTGGGGGAAAGGGGAAAGTGGTTATACCATACGTAGACATTTTACAGGTAGGGAAATGTGCAGTGGGAGGCAAGTACCCTAAGAGGTATTTCATATAGAAATAAGAAATACAGCACTGCCCCCTCTTTCCCTCTGTCTCCTCAGCACAAAATAACATTCTCTCAAGCTCATCTAAATCAAGGTTAAAAAATGGAAAACTAGGAGCAATGAGTCTTCCTTACTCTGTTCTAGAAGGCCCAAGAGGGTTTACACTGAAATCATGGTAATCCTGAGCTCTGATGAAAAGCATCATTTTTTTTACTCAACGGTGTCTGTTAAAAAGGAGAATATCAGGAAGATGGTAAGCTTGCCTCCAGCTTGCATGCCATGAGGACAACCAGCCACACCACAACTGCATCTTTGTTTTCAATTACTATGGAGCTTTAATGAAGTGCCCTGTGCTTCTTTTGTGGCTGCATGGATGTTTAGCCATCAGGGAAGCCATGAGCTCCATTCAAGCTAGAAGGGAAGCCTGACAGGACGACACCAAGACAAGGTAGGAGGGAAGGGCTGTGCTCAGTGCCAGGCTGGGTGAAAGCATACCACCCTGAAGGCAGAGGCTTGGAAGAAGATCAAGTCATAATGACAGGACCAGAAAAGAGGACCTACTAGCTCTCCTGGTGAATGTCCTGGCCACAATCTGAACCCAGAAGATAAGAAAGGGAGGCAGATATGAGGACAGGAAAAAAACAAAACCCTGTAAAAGTCTTCAAAAAATGTATGGAGAAACAAATCCTCAGTGTGAAAAAAAAAAAAAAGGATGGGAGTGGGAAAGAGAGAAGGGAACTTGTCAACCTACCCAGGGAAGAGGCAGGTTCTTGCAAGGAAGGCCAGAGAGGCAATGACCTGAGAAAGCAGCCCTGAACTGGAAGCCAAGACCAGGGCTTTTCTCTCAGCTATTCCTATCACTGAGCGAATCATTTTACCTTTAAAGGTCTTCTTAAATTTTTTTCCCATGTACAAAACGGAGTCTTTTCCAAGCCTGGCTTCAAAGAAAGGCTGTGAGAATGCCCCTCCTTCCTTTCTACAGATTTGAAGGGCCATTGGTGCGGAACACATGGGGGGTATTGGCTAGTTTTGCTGAACCGTTTCCCCCTCTTTATCTTTTATCATTCTGTTATAAAACATGATTCTCTGGGAAGGACACATTTGCAAATGAAGGGACTATGAGAGCAAGAAAAACAAAATTTTAATCACCTAGATAGGAGTGTACTTTTATATGGATTCTAGTATTATTCCTTAGTGTCTTGTAGGACTTTGAGCATCCTGATGGCACTGAAGAAGGTTAAGAAAAGTGCTCTGTAAGCCTTCAAGCACTACAGAAACATGCACTAGGATGAGAATTATGAATAATGAAATGGCACGTTCATATTGCCTAAGTGGATGATCACCACCACAGGGAACGGATCAGAGATTGACAGAGGTCTAAGTGGACAAACGTTTCTGGAAGATTTTCTGCAGAGGCAGAGCCCTGGAGATGATGGGGCAGGGAAACGAGGATGTGAGGCCTTCAGGGCGTACCGAGCCGCGACTGCGCCGGGTCCTCATGCTATGCTTTCCACTAAGCCCATCCTCTTCCTCTTTGACAGGCTTGAACATGAAGGGCGGGGGGTCCACTGGCTTCTCAATCGGGGGGAGTTCGCCGTACTTCTTGAAGTGGATCCGACAGTCAGTGCACAAGAGGATGTTTTCTCGGCCGCCGTGGTGCCAGTCTTTGGAAGCTTCACAAAGGGTTGGGGGAAGGAGTAAAACACAAGTCAGTACGTCCCTGAACAATGAGGCTTACCAGAAGGAATGGCCACCTGGAAGCAGTCTGCTCTGACAGGGAGACAACCGGAACCCCAAATGCCACACCTGCTCAGGCTGCAATCTCAATGTGCCATGATAGAACCTTCCAGGACCAAGGACTGGCCTATTTCTGGGCTCACTTACAAGTGGCTCCCACAGCCATGTCTCTGTGAGGTGTCTGATATGCCGTTCAAACACATACTGCACATGCCACCTTTCCCGCCCATCTCCTCCACACCTTCCCCCCTTCCCCCAACAAAGCCCTTGAGCATCATGTCTGTGGGTTATGGGCAGGTTCTCTGCACTTGGCATTCAGAGCTCTATACTGATCTGCTAACCAGAAAGTGATTATCATGAGGGACTTAATATGGCCAGGGAGAGTTTACTGTATCCATTCCTCAACTTTTTCACTTATGTTGGAATTCAAAGTCAGAATAAAATTGTTATAATGTCACTTATTTCAATTCATCAAATGTTTAAACCTTAACAGCACTGAGACCAGCCTAGGCTAGTAAATCTGCCCAAATAAAGCCAGCGCCAGAACAAAACAGGGTGCAACATCCGTCACGCAGCACGTACTGGTGGTGAAGCAATGACGACAGGCGTAACCCTTCAGCTCCTGCTCGCTGTCCTCACTGTCAAAATCATCCTCACTGGCGGAGCTCAAGTCCACTGAAGAAGGAAAGCAGAGCACAGTTGGGGGGAGGGGGACAAAAAGAAAAGTTCAGATTAGAATTTCCCCACTGGCTAAAATGGAGCAGTTTCTTCGAAGAGCTGGATTCTCAGCTGTGCCCGGTGAGGCTGAGCAGGGAGAAAGCTCCTCTGCCTTTGCTGTCCTCCTATGGTGGGGCAGAACTAGGAGTTGCTTCTCAGCCGGTTGTCTTTGGAGAACCACAGTGCCTTAGTTTCTGAATGTGTAGGGGCCCAAGGCTCCCAGATGCACATGGCAACAGTGGGAGGGCTTGCCTAAAGGCTAAGGCAAGAGTTCAATCTGCAAAGTGGCTTCTTGCCTCTCTGGTGTCCCCTACAGCATCACCTGGATAGGAATGTCTGTTCTTGTTCTGATAAAGAATGTGAAGTGGGCCAGGCAGCAGCAGGCTATGTGTGTGAGAGATTTAAATAGGTACGTTGCTCATGTGGGTAAAATGTCATGGCCTGGAACACAAATGTCAAATGTGGGGCTTGTATCAGGCTATTAAAATGCCTCCTGGACTGTGGTCAACAAGATGACTTTGGTCAGCCACTTCTTTGTGTAGTCAGAACAAGTCAGTCAAATCATCTTATGCTAATATTCTCAAAAGAAAAGCTTTCTGTCAAGTGGCGAGAACTGTAAGCCTGACTACAGCGGACCCTGCGAGCGCCCTTGGCCAGCCCTCTGCTCATGGACTCAGAGAACGTCGGGGCTGGAAAGGCTCATGCGTGCCCTGGGACACCTTCTAATCCTAATACTTCCCAGTTTCCTGAGGACAGAGGAATAGTGATCTAATTCAGAAACACGTAAACACACATACACTCCCCAGCCATAGAGACAGCTGAGAAGGGCCCTTAACTTCTATGTCCAACTCTATACAAGTGTGTGTCCTGTCCCCACACCCCCACTCTCCCAATCCCGCCAAATATTAGCCAAGGACTCTAGCCTTTACTTACAGAATTCACTGGAGGGAGGTCTGGAAGGAGTGTTGACTGGAGTAGAAGCTGTTCGAGTTTTAATCCTCCGAAATACAGCCTGCCTGCGGTGCCTCCGGTGGGCCCGGGAACTAGCAGCTTCTGGGGTTTTCTTCCAATAGTAATAAAAGGTGATTAACTCTCCCTGCAGAAGAGAAGAGTTGAGTGTCAGTTGGGACTATGGTGGAGGAACACCTCTTTGAACAGTTTCCTCTTTCTACTGGAAAGTGGAAAATATGGTTTAATAACGGGTCCATAATGCCATGGCAACTGCTCTCCTTACGGCAGGGAGGAGCCCTAGTAGAGAGGGCACATGTACTACCCCCAGTCTGTTTGATATAACTTCTTCCTGGTCTCTGACAAAGTCTCATACACAGCAAGTACACAAACCATGTTCGATACGCACACAAAGGGGGTCAGATTATGGTTTGTTACTAGTATTTTGAGGAAAAGCCACTCCTGCTCACATTGTCAGCTAACAAACCAACCCTGAGTTCTGGCTACTAGCTTGTCCCCTGAGGCCACTGGTCCAAGGCAGTTGTGTGGATCAAAGGACGTTCAGGGACTTCCCTAAACACTTACAAAGTATGTACGAAGTTGGGAGTGAGAGAGGACAAGAGCTGACACTTGAACTTTACTCTCACACGAACTGGTTAAAGGAAGGAAGAATATTTACACATATGCACAGTTGGGAGCTGAAATCAGTCAATCAATAAACATTTATTAAGGAGTTCACAATCTAATGTGGAAGACAACAAGCAAACAAATGTGTACAAATAAGCCACATACTGGACAATCAGGAAATAATTAAGAGAGGGAAGACACAAGGCTTCCTGAAGATGAGATCTGAGTTAGGAAGTCAGGAGGCAGAGCTGAGGAAGAAGTGCATTCCAGGCATGGGGGAAAATCAAAGAAAATGCCCAGGGCTGAGTGTCCCCTCTGTGGAACAGCCAGGAGGCCAGTGTCACTGGATTGAAGACTACGTGGCACGGAATAAGAAGACTAGAAAGACAGGAGAGCACCAGGTTATAAAGGGCTTTGAGTGTCAAACAGGACTTTGGGTTTGATTCTGGAGGCGACAGGGAGCCATTGGAGTTTACTGAATAGGGGAGTGACATGGTCAGAGTTGTGCATTAGGAAAGTCTCTCTGGTGACTAAATGGAGAATGGACTGGATTGGAGAGAGACTGAATCAGGCAGAGCCTCCAGCAGTCTACTGCAATAGTCCAGGTGTGAGGTAAGGAAGGTCTGCATCAGAGTAATGGCAGTGTTAGAGAAGAGAAGTGGGTACATTTGAGAGATGTTGCAAAGATGAAATTGATGGGCATTGGCCATAGATTATAGGAGTGAGAAATAATGAGAAGTCGAGGAGGAGACCTAGGCTAGGAACCTGAGGAACTGGGAGGATGATGTTTTCCCACTGTAGTAATTGGGGAGGTAGAAGGGGGGTGGGTTTAAGGGGAAAGGTTATGAGTTCAGTTTTGGACATGCTGAATTTAAGATGTCTACTAGACATCCCATCTGAGAAGTGTGAAAAGCAACTGGAGATGCAAGAGTAGAGGTTAGGGCAGGATAGATACATCTGAGAATCATCTGCATGGAGATGACAAATTTTTACCTCCATGAGCTGATGAGATCACCAAGTAACATATAGAAGGAGGGCCCAGGATAGAATCCTGTGGGACACTTATGGTTAGAGGGCATGATCTCAACTTCTTTGCAATTTAGAATCTTAGAGAAGTGCCTGGAGTAACTTGGGGCCTGGTTAAGTAATTTATGGCCAAGCTCTCACAATCAGTATATGTCAGAAGTCTGACATCTTCCTAGCTCCAAACAGTGCTCTCTAAGAGACAGACAGCTATCTTGAAATATATATGATACAAAGGTGCATAAATATACATATCAAGAAAGATATGGGGGGCAGCTAGGTGGCACAGGGGATAGAGCACCGGTCCTGAAGTCAGGAGGACCTGAGTTCAAATCCGGCCTCAGATCAAACACTTGACACTTACTAGCTGCGTGACCCTGGGCAAGTCACTTAACCCCCACTGCCTAAAAAACAAAAAAAAAATTTTTAAAAAGAAAGCTATAGACCTTTATGTACACACAGAGTTAAAGTATGTAACTTTTCCTCTGATTTTTAAAAATGTGGCTATAAACATGGTCAGAAAGCATTCCAGGCGAGGGGAATGTCAAGGGCAAAGGTGCAGAGAAGAATAAGCAGAATATGTGGAGAGATATGCCATGGCTTGGATGAGAGAGTAAAGTATCTCTAAGAAAGATTTGCTTACTAATCACAATCCTAAATTAAGTGAAATTAATTTTACGAAGCTTCACATCAAGAATACTGATAAAGATTTTAGCTTCAAGTTAAAGAAATATTACCCCCAACATAAGAGCTTTTTTGTAAATTTTAAAATTTCAATGTGAATGTGGAGTCAGGTGGACTCAAAAACCAGCTCACATTATGGTTTAAAATATAAAAACATTTACATCTAGACAGCCTGAGTTCCAAGTCAAGTTGATGTGATGATGAAAATGTCTTGCAATTTCAAGATCTTGAGAAGATACTGCTAAAAATGGTATAATGCTCCATCTAGTCTTTCACTGCACAGACTTTCAGCATTGCCCAGTATAGACTTGTTACCTCCCTCCCTTCTGCATGTTTTGAATCTATAGCTTAACAAATCAGCAAAAACACCAGGAAAAAACATTACAATCTGAGAATCCATTCCTGTACGGCCAGAAAGAAAATCTTCCAAGAAAGGTAATGTCATAGCAAGAAAACAGCACGCTACCTTCCCCCCATTCCCCAGTGGGTAAAGTTGTGAATTGGTCTGGTGGATCTGAAAAGCAATTTGGAACTATGCCCAGGAAGTTAATAAACTGCACATCTTTTTACCCAGTGATACTGCTATGAGGCCTATACCCTAGGGAGCTCAAAGAAGAAAATGTCCTAAATGTACCATCACAGTTTTTGGCGGGGGGGGGGGAGACACCAATTGAGGAACAGCTGAGCAAATTATGGTATATGAATAAAACAGAATGTTATTGGGCTGACAGAAAGGAGAAAACAGTTCCTCCTATTGGTTCTAATTCTTCTTTTCAACATTTACAAAATATGTTTAATATGAATGGAGCCTGTATCAAATTGCATGCCGTCTTGAGGAGGAGGGGGGAAAAGTTTAAAACTCAAAAGCTTACGGAAGCGAATGTTAAACACTAAAAATAAATGAAAAAAATTTAAAAAAAGAAGAGAAAAGAGAAAGCAGAAAGCTGAGAAATCCGATAAGATTTATACAAGCTGATGCAGAGTGAAGTGATCAGGAGAACAACTTGTACTATTACAACAACGCTGTAAAAACAAACAATTTAAAAATGCTTAAAAGCTCTGGTCAAGGCGCTAACCCCTGAGGAACTTACGGTGAAGGACGCTGCCTATCTTTTGACAGAGAGGCGATGGGCCGATATGAAGAAGGGGACACATTTTCGGACGTGGCCAACGTGTGAATGTTTTGCTTGACTATGAACACTTGATACAAGGGCTTTGTTTTTCTTTTTCCATGAAGGAAATATATGTTTGATAAAACTTTTTCGTTAAGAAAAAAAGTAGCCCTAAAATACTGCACACTTCCCCAAAAGAATGACCTACCAGGATTCCTTTGGCTCCAGTGAATGGCACTTACGGCCCTAAAGGACCGAAAGCAGACACAGTCAAACAGGAAGAGGAAGTTAGAGCCTGTAAGATTACTCTACTTTTTAGTCTTGCTCTTTTAGCTCTCCACCTCTTGGGTTTATCTCTTCAGTGCTGTCATCTAACCCATCTCTGCCTCACTCTCACTTATTTATCATCCTCCCCAATGCCTTCTACTTCCATTAAATTAACAGAGTTTTCTAAGTGATTTACATGTTATCTTATTCAAACCTCACAATAACCCTGTGAGAGAGAGGCTATTATCATTCCCATTTTGCAGACGAGGAAACTGAGGCAGAGATTTGCCCAGGAGTCCACAACTAGTAAGTGTCTGAGACACGATTTGAACTCGGGTTTTCCTGACTCCAGGCCAACATTCTGTGCACTGTGGTGCCACCTGGCGCCTCTTTCCACTCTACTCACTTTAGAGTGCTCTGGTCACTGCGCATCTTTTCCCTTTTTCACTCAATCTTCATAATTACTCGTATGTGTGTATGTGTACGCGTGCTTGCGCACACATACAAAGTCCTATTCTGATGCCTAATCATGGCATGGAGGTGCACTTGGGCTCTCAAAGGCTCTGCCAGTAGAATGTAAACTCTGAAAGGTCATAGCAAACACGCAAGATATCAAGCACAAATCAGGAGACAGACATTCTGCTTGTCATCCATGGACGGGCCTAGCTAATTCTGGAGAGGTTCATCACCAGAGAAGCTGCAAGGTGATGAATTCTTTGACCACAGCAATTTCAAAGATGATCTACTAATGGGGCATAGGGGAGTTGAGATCCGCGGTAGAAGGAAGAGAGTAAGTGCCTCAATGAAACCACAGGTGGAAGAAAGTATTAAGAATACACACACAAAGTATTAGGAACAAGTGCACATGTGTGCATGCGTGCGTGCGTGTGTGCTGAAGTACACACAGGCCCACATAGCGACTCTTTTTCCATTCCAAGTGTTAGGAAACACTTGTGGCTGTCGTCACTGCCATCACTCTATTCCTTCCATTAAAATGCTTCAGTTGCTTCAGGACACAAACCAGCCTCCTCAGCAATACTCGTTCAGGCCTTCCAACAAATGCCGCTGGCTCCTGATGAGGGATACCTGTCCTCAGAGGGACTGAGCGCCCTGAACACCGTTGGTACAAACAGGAAACATCGAGTCCATGATTTTCAGATCTTTAAGTCAGATGAGGGGCCAGACAGAGAGAACAGTAACAGCAGCAGCAGCAGCAGCAGCAGCAACAGTAACAGTAACAATTCCAGGCAGCATGAGCCACACATGTGAGGAGCAGTAAGTCCAGGCTGAAGTCCTGGCTGTGCTCCTTACCTGGAGGCAGAGAGCCTGGGTTCAGATCTCAGTCTCTGTGGGAAAGAAATGTGGCCTCTCTGGGCTTCACCTTCTTCTTGTACATGAGAGAGCTGAACAAGAAGGGATCTGAGAAGACTCTTCT